TAGAGTGATATGGTAATGAAGCACCCTTATTCTATTTGAAAAATTTTAGTTAACATCATAATTACAATATAGTAAATTTTGAATGAACCTGTGAAACAAATGAAAAGTAAAACTTCATCGAAACTATTTTTCCTAGGCAACATGATTCAAAATCAAAAAATATTTCAACCCGATCTATCACGAACCAATCACTTGATGTACCTACTCCTATTTAGGAAAAGTTACTCCCAACGCTGCCTCTCTTATATAGGACCAAAATTATATAACAAATTGCCACTTCAAATAAAAAAAATATATAAACTCAAATCCTTCAAATACGAAATCAAAAAAATGATCAATGAAAATAGAATCTACTTATTCTACTTTTTCTTTTTCTCTCGAATGTCAATATGCCCTGTCACTTTGCATCTCTCCTGAGAATCCTATCAAGTTCTGACACTGAAAACGAAAACAAAAAAACAAAATAGCAAATAACATTACTTTTCCTCGTACAGAAATAGACACTACAAGCATTTATGCTTAGGTAATTTCTGTACAGGATTACATAATCTGTAATAGATATTTTGTAATAACGACTATCATGAATGAATAAAGTTTGATTTGATTTGATTCATTGCACTCTAGATTAAAAATTGAAAAATGAAAATTATTTTAGGATGAAAATGTCAAAAAGTGTTAAATGGGGTTTCATTGTACTCACAATCTCTATCAAAATAAGTTAAAATTTAACGGGTGTCCCATTTAAAATCGGAAGACAACAATTGAATACGTCAAATAATGCATATTCACTCGCATATTCATGTACTATACTTATACAGCAAATTTAAATTGTTTATCTGTATAAACAAAAAAGTTATAGGGGTGAGCCACTTTTGAAAAACACCCGGTGTATTATTAGCTATACCACATTTTTTTCTAGAAAAATGTGTTCATAGCAAAAAGACAATATCCTTAACCCTTTTCGATCAGTTTAGTTTACATGCAATGTGCGAAGTATGTATTTCGCGCAGTAACGTGGGAAACTGACAAAAAAGTGTCACTTCGCATACCTACCAACTGTTATCAATTCACGAACCTTGTCATTTTTTGATGTTTGCAGAAGAAGGTAGATTATTGAAATATGTAAAAAAATCATGTTCATACATATCAATTTGTATGAGTATAGCTGGGTAAATTTGCACTTATCAATCGATGTGTATTTTTTCGAAAATTCTTACCCGAAGCTGTAACACCCTGTACCGTGAGAACCGAGGTGAGAACTTATCATTCCGTCAGAGGCATTAAAAGATAATATAATAAAGCAACAAACGAATTAAGAAGAAGATAATAAACAGCAATCACAAACATGTATACAGATAACGGTTTATAAAAGCTATTTCAAGATGAGCTTAGAGAATTGATAATAATTGCAAGCAATCAAAGCGCAACGAAAAAAGAATCGTAAAAAACCGAGTAAAAAACCATCAGTGGTCAATGTCCGCATACCTAGTTCGAGGCTTAGAATCAGTCGGTATCAGTTATCAGTTCTGTGTAATGTATGGGTACAGCAGTGGCGGAGCCAGTGAGGGGTAAAAAGGGGTATAATTACCCTCGCTTAAGTCTCGTCGAAAAATTGAATGGGATGAGATGAGAGAAAAAGAAAGGCTATCATATATACATTGACTTACAAACACACCTCAGGAGGGAAGCGATTGGGAAAATACGAGGAAAAATTGTATTAAAAGAACATCAAAAAATCAACAGTCAAATCTTCACCTTGATCTTTTCACAAAAGATAGATTGGAATAAGAGAAAAATAATGGCCAAGTATGTGCACATTCCACATTGACATATCCGAGGACATATATTTTACGAGGGGGAACAATTCCGAAAAATCAATTAGGGTAGTTAAACTAGAAGTACCTAATTACTTATTCGGTAAAAGTGCACTTATCATGCGATGGGGTTTTTTTCGAAAAAATTTTTTGGTACTTACGTATTTTCGTCTGAAAAACACGAATTTCATAATGAAAATGTGAACAAACCACTATTTATCGAGATATTTCAAGAAAAATTTCGAAATTTTGCCTTCTTTTCCCCCTTGTGTTGGATGCATTAACAGGTACTTGCTCTTATTATTTTGTCATTGGACAATTAATATACTCATGATGTACTTCACTGACACATTTTAAGATAGAAAATTCAACAGGAAATATGATATTTATGGCGAGTTTTTCCTATTTAGTGAGCAAGCATACCAGACTCGATACCAGATGATGACGGCCATTTAATCCATATGCAATCCAAATACGAGATGTCAAATGTGTCAATAGATTGCTTTGGAATGACATTACACACGCCATTATTTCAAATGATATTCTTCCTTCTTATCACTAAACATGGATAAATCACAAGAAAATCATATTACTAGTTGACTCATATAATAAAAAAAAAATGTGTCCAACATTGTGTGATATATATAAATTGTCCAATGATGGAAAAAGAAGGGCAAATTGTTCTAAATGTGATCCAGAAGACAGGCGGAAAAGATGGTGAAATTTGTAACTTTATAGTGAAATATCTTAATAAATAATGGTTTGTTCACATTTTCATTATGAAATTCGTGTTTTTCAGACGAAAATACGTAAGTAGGTACTAAAGAAAATTTTCGAAAAAAAACCCATCGCATGATAAGTGCACTTTCACCGACTTTTCCTGAGTCCACGACATTTTCTACGGATGTAACAGTCAACAGCGAAATTTTTGATTTCTTCAGCTTGTAGTCAACGAAGTCATTGTTACTTATCAGATAAGGGAATGATATAAAATTGAAGACACAATGTGTACATCATTGATTTATCGAAAACTGTAAAACAAGAGCAATATTGCGTTACTTATAGCCGAAGAAAAAAATTATTTCAATACAAATCATGGAAACTGAAACTACCCATGCCTCACACATCACATGGTCCCTAAGTACAAATGAAAATATCAACTTAATTATTGTTAATATACTTAGTAGGTAGGTAACTAGTTTCGGCTAGCAATATACCTATAATATATCTTCAGACCTAAAATAATAAGAAATCTGTGGCCATGGCTTCAACATGATTTTCCATGATTCATAATTAATGCGCTTAACATGAATTTTAAAAAAATTATCTACCTAGGCATAGATTAGGGGAGTCGTTAATCTATATGACCTAGGTCTCGACCTAGGTATAGTCATACCATAAACTACAGAAGGTAAATAACTCTTCAGTAATCTTTGCCTATACCATATACCATAACATAGACTACAGAAGATAAACTATAGTAATCTTTGCCTATGCCTACTATAGTTGGGTAAACTTCTACAGGAAAGTAGTAATAGTGCCTCTTCTCTTAGGTAGATACTGAAAGTCGGCGGAAAAGCTCGACTAAAGTTGAAATTGTCTACTTGAAACTTCCCTATCAATGGAAAGTTAGAAAGCCTATAATCATCTGAAAAATACATATGAAAAGGGTCTTCTGAAATTCGTCAAAATCTAGTTATCTCCATCTCAGACACTCAGATTGACTCATTTCAATTTTGAAACTTTTCCGAACTTTTGATACGTTAATCAAGATCAACTACCTAAACTTTTTCAAGAGCTGATCGTTATTCTTATTATCCATATTTTCCTTTTATCAGCTAATCAGCTGCATGTCTACAAGATAAACAATAACACCGGGCATTCAGATTTGTTGACAGTTCCACTAATGTCAGCTATACACTTATATCCCGCGTCGAAAAATAAATCGAGCCTACAAAATTCAACTATACACTTCCTTATCTGTATGATGTGAGTACATACTTTATTGTTAGCCGATTCTATTTCCATCCGCTGGCGCTTAGAATTGGGACCATCTCCATTGAACGCCATTTTGCAACGACGCGAGTCCTCAACCGAAACTGAACTACCCGATTCAACGGCACGCGCAGAACTGTCAATTTTCGGGAGATCGCAGTCACTAGCGGATACACAGAAACTATCTGCAAATCGTCCCGACTGTATGAACCAATCAGAACGATTCTAGCTATGGCGGTGCATTCAAAATGAATCGTGATTGAATCCGAATCTTTTCGAGAAAAGAAAATAGGATGAAGTGGAAAATTTCAGTCATATAAAAATATAGTATTCAACAAAATTGAATGGATTGAGTCTATTTATCCTTAACAAACTAACCTATTCCTATTGCAATATTTTTTGAGGAAGGAAAACCAGAATGAAGTAAATACACATTGATCAATGATAAGTCAAGTTTTTCAACAAAATTGAATAAAATGAGACTGTTTATCCTAAACGCACTAACCTATTCGACATTCGATATTTTTTGAGGAAGCTCAACCAGAATGAAGTAAAGATACATTGGTGAAAAAAAGTTGTTAAAAAAAGATAGTTCATAGCGAATCGAACCTGGGACCTGCAGATCTGTATTGATATATGCGCGCGCATTCGGGACGATTCGCAGATGGTTTCTGTGTATCCGCTATTATCGCAGTCTGCTGAGAACACGAATGGCGAATGCGCAACGATTTTCGATTGTTACGATTGTTCGATGCCAGCGGACCCTGTCTGTTTTCACCCGCACTGATTTGGAACTGTTTACAGATCTTAGTTGGTTTACAGTTTTTTACTTTTCAATTCAATCTGTAATCTTAAAGAATTTCATATCATAACCTCAAACAAAATTTCAAATGTTTTACTAGAGTCTAGAGTTTGTGATTTTGACCCGTTCAATGACGGCTAAACGGACTGTCTGACGGGAGTCCAATTAGCCGTCATTGACCCGTTTGACCATTGTTGGAGTTCAGAGTACTTTACTAATTCATATACATGGTATTTCTTTTATATACTTTCCTCAGTTATGCTTTGATTTGCTAGAATTCTTCTATAGCTATCACAGTATTTGTGTTACTAGGCAGAAAAGTTTAATGCCACTGACCAGCCAAGGCATTGAATATTGAATCTTCTTTTCTGTCATGAGAAACGTAACTCTCAGAAGAAAATGCAACTTTTAATGTAAATTGAAGAAAAACAATTGTTTGGGACACTTTCAGATAGGTCTAAGATATCTAAATTGTCAATGTGGATATCATTTCATAAATTTACAATGATTACAAATTACAATACAATAGTAGTAGATACAATATACCTATTGTACATTTCAAATAGCAAATAAAAAATGTGTTTCAGGTAATTTACCCCCAAAATTCAACCTCCCTGCCTGAGGAGTAGTTACCCTCCTCATAACTTCTTTGATCTCATTAACACTAATGGCATGTTGACTGTTGTGGACCTTGGTATAGTCAGGATTTCCATTTTCAAAATGATGCTTCCCATTGAACATTGTAGCAGTATAATAAGATCCAGCCAAGTGTTTCAATGGATCAGTACCACATTTAGTGTCCATTCGCACCAGCAGAGCATAGTCAATGATTTCAGCTACTGTCTGATATGCATAATAACCTAGTACATCTAGACCTTCAGGTTGGAAATTTATTTCTTTCTTTGGGTCTACCCACAATCTCAATTTATCCAAGCTTCTGTGAGTAGTTTCTTTACTGTAGAATGAGGCACATCTAGCTTTACAGAATTCCAAGTACTTTTTTTCATCCAAAGCTTGAGAAATTCGATCTGCACGTAACTGGCGCTGAAATTTTACTTCATCAACTTCAGACAAGTCCATAAACTCTCCAGTTTCGTCTATTCTTTCAATAAACTCCATCAGGTCACCTTTGGGTCTATCAGATCCATCTACTTCAAAGGCCAAGTTTGTCTGCATTTTCTGGATTGCTAATTTGTTCTGTTTATTCATCAAATATTTAATGAATCTCCTCATTTTGTGCTTGTTGTGCCTCATAAGGAAAACCAGTTCTTCACCTTTAATATTTTTGCCATCTGAATACTTTAGAGCTTCTTGTACCAATGTCCTAAGTTGCTTCAAAGTTATACTTTCTACTAGGCTAACTGTTTCAGGGTTCGGTGTGTGGCTATCTCCAAAGCCAAACATCATCAATGAGATTTCAGAGTAAAATGAAATTTTTGGTGGTTCCATATTTCCATAATTCAATATAAAGTATGTAAAGGAAGAGGTCAATTTTGAATCAGATCCACATAAACAATAAACATAACCTGTTTCTGCCACAGTTTTCTGCCTTAAGTGGCGTTCACAACCAGACTTTTTACGTTTTGCTTTTTACGTTTCGTATTCTGATTGGTAAAGCAGAATCTGAAATTAAACGTGAACTAAACCTATGCAAATGTCATTCACAACAACAAAAAATCAACGTGACTTTTCATGGCTCAGTTGCCTTGGTTTTGTTATTTGTTTTTCATCCTGAAATGAATTAAATAATCATATCAATAATATTGATCAGATAATTAATAATATTCATAGAACTGGCGGTGAAGAAAATTGATCCTTATTCAATAATGAAGAGAAAAATCAATCTTCAACAAGAAAATAATGAATTGAACAGTATACCTATCTACTATTCTGTGGATTTACAAAAAAATCATGAAAACATTATCATAACTCCCATATTATTACAGAATGTTCCAAATTATACGTCTATTTTTACTATTTCCACAGACGATGGTTTCTTGCAACGCAAAAAGCTGAATATTTTCAGCTTTTTGCGTCATTTCAATTACAGATTTTGCTTCACCAATCAGAACACGAAACGAAAAAAGCAAAACGTAAAAAGTGTGGTTGTGAACGCCGCTTTATGCGTCATTTCAATTACAGATTTTGCTCCACCAATCAGAATACGAAACGTAAAAAGCAAAACGTAAAAAGTTTGGTTGTGAACGCCGCTTTACGCTTACGCGTCTACCTAATGCCTGTTCGTTTGTGCTTGCTCTACCTGCTGAACTTGATTTTTTTCTATGACTTTCTCTGTTTACATCATGCCATGAACAGAAACAACTATGGAAAAATTATCAGCTTCAGCAAGTATAGCAATACAAACGAACAGACCTTTTCTTGCCTACTAGTTTAGGCCAGCGAATCTTCAAACATCGAGGTCAAATGACGTCACCCACAACAGACGATATTCCTTCTTTCTTTATATTAATCATTCCAGAATTACGTCATTTGACAGTTTGCTGAGGGGCAAACATTGTATTTTGTCAAGATTTGTCACATAAAATCAGGATTGGTGGGATCGTTTTCCTTGGAATCCGAGTTGGAACCAGAAAGAATTCCATAATTTTGCCAGTGCTATGCTCATCAAAGGCAAGCATCATAGGTAACCTAACAGATAGTTTGTGTGCCCCTCAAGAAACCATGTCAAAATCACGTGTTCTAGAATGATCAATTGAGAAACTACAACTACTCAATGAACAACTACTACGAGTGAAGTGGAGCGGGAGCTAAATGGTCTGTGTATCTGACTTTCACGGTGATGACTGAAGTTCAATGTTCAATCCCTGCGAGGCGTCATTTTTTTTGTAATTTTTTTCCGTCCATTATTTTTTTTTATTATACTTTTTAGGAAAAACGTTCATTCAGGACAAGATAGGTTGAAAGAAATTTCCTTTTTTATGCAGGAGACTTATTTTCCTTTCTCATATTACCTTATAAAAGTCTTATAAACACAAATAACCTTCTGATAACCTTGAGGTTTGAAACATTCGCTGGTCTAGCTAGACATTTTCTTCCAGCTTGCTAGACCTAGTACTTTGGTATTCCTTTTAGCCTGTATGATCTAAGGGTATTCCCAAGAACAAGAAGCGACCTGCTGACAAGATGGCATTTGACACGTGACGGATTGTGTCAATGCGTGTCTGCGGGACAGGGTTGGGATTGTTGTTACAATCGTAATATTTCTATTACAATCGCGTCTCAGTTATTACGGTATTACTACATTGACGAAAACAGCCAATATCTATTACACTTTGACTGGAGGTAGTATAATGCAAGTTTGAGGGCAACGTCAGGAAAAAACGGCAACGTTAGTGGGGTAATTTTTTCAAACTTGTGTTTTGTGTTCTGTAACTGAGTTTATTTATTATTATAATAGTTTTGTCAATTTTCTTACGAAGGATTTTTACAATTCCGAACCTAAAAACCAACTCGCCTAATAATCTGATAGGTATGAAAAAATGAACTAGTAAAATATAAATACTGTCTGTAGGTTATTTTCATCTTATGGAAACGAGGAGAGAAAATCCCAAAAAATCCTATTTTGCCCTTTATATATGAAATGTAAAATCCCAAAAAGTTATTCTTACTAGAAATAAAATGTTATTAGTTGAAAATAGAATATTCATCTTGTCATATAGAAGCTAAACGTTTTGTGAAACTGAGTTAATTCATTTAGCTCTATCAGTTCCTATTTTATTCTCAGTTTTCATTTATTTTGGAATTGAGTCTGTGTTGTTTTCCATTTTTTCTCCATTTTTCCTGGACAGTCCAAAATTCTAAGGTACATTATAACCAAAGGATCTCCTCTTGTAAAATTTTAATAGGGAAATTCAAATTTGCCGCCCATTGTTTGAAATCTATTACATTCTATTACATTTTGCTACCAAGATTCAGTACAAACTGACGCTAACTAAATCCCAACCCTGCTGCGGGATATCATTCATATTTTCATTGACTCATGAATACAAGAAAAAGTGCACAAAGGAATCAGAATAACCAGAATGTTTTTATAAAAATCGGCCATGGTATGATAGATATAATGAAAAATAAAAGTATCATTGTCTCATGCTATATTAATCTTACAGGAAGTAGATCTGGACGAACAGGATGATGAAACAGACTGGGAAGAACTGGAATCAAGATTATACAGCCAAATATACCATGCTGCTCCTGAAGAAGATGATGACCCTGTCTTTTTGAAGACAATAAACATGAATACAGAAACGATGGGGAACAAAAAGAAGTATCGTTATTTTGAACAAGCTAAAGCTGTTCCAACAAGATCACATTTCCCTTTGCCATCCTACTTATCTCTTGAGAACACCACTCAGAAACCAGACAACTACAGTATCTCCACAATTCAGAAACATGTCTCAGCTGCACAAACTGAGTCAAGAAGTACTAGCAGCATAGCCCCAACTCATGTTCATAATAATATAACTGTGAACCAGTACAGCATTCCTCCATTGATTATACAATCTGAAGCAGTATCCACTGAACCACTGTCATTTTTTGCACCTTGGCATGCTAATGCTTTAAAAGTGATTGAGAAAAATAAAATACTAGACAAAAAAAGGAAAAGAAAAGATAAATTACTGAGACGCATAGATAGAAGAAAGAATAACCTTAGGCTTGCCAATTTTAAAACAACTCAGAATTCTGTAACTATATTTGTTGATTCAGATATTTCTGATGATGAATGTATTGTAGTGGAGGATGAGAGTGCCAAGAAACCAGACACAAAAATTTGCACTGGATTCCCGAAGAAATATGATGAAAACAATGGTGGTGAAAAACCAGAAGATGATGATGAGATAATCTACATTCCTCCACCTCCAGTTGAGGTTATAAATGTTGACTTGGAAGAAACTGAAAAAGTGGCTTCAGAAGGAGATATAGATAAATTGGATGATTCTTCAGCAATTCCACAAAAAGATATTGTAGAAGAATTGCTCATAGATAGAGAAACTCAAATCCCCACTGGGGAAGAGCCTAAAGGATTCTTAGGTAGTCCAATCTCCACATCCAATGATTTCCTAGATAACATCAGCCTTCATGGGTCTGATTGCAATAAACGTGATTTTGTTAAACCTCCCAATCCTATTGAGTATTGTGAAACAGAAAGTAGTTGTAGTACAAATGAGCAAAGCAGAGATTTCAGTAATACTGTCAAGACTATAGTTTTTGATGAAGTTGATTTTCCAAGGGAAGATATATTTTCAGATAATAATTTAGAAGACTTTGGATCATTCATTACTCCCAAAAGGACTACTAGGAACTCAAAAGGAAGTCCTTCCAAAGAAACCAAAGAAACTGAGCCACATTCTGAAAAAAATTTCACATCTTCAGATGATTCAAGTTCTGAGAGTGATTATGAGGAGACAACTAATGTGTCTATGAGAAGGGGGACGAATAAAAACTTACCAAATTTATCCCTGATGATGCCTCCAGATACACCAAAGAAAGTTCCTAGAAAGAAGAAAAGTGCTTCTGACTTTTTCAGTAATGATAATCCAGAATCCAAGAAGATGAAGTCCTCTCAGACTACTAAAAAAACTCCTAAGGCCAAGAGAAAACTGAAGAAAAAAAAAGTATCAGGAAACACAAAACAAAGTGAATTGGCAGATGGAATTGATAGCAAATTGTCTGCTGGGGAAAATCAAGTTAGTTCAGATAAGGATAAAAAGAAAAAGAAGAAAAAACGCCAATCTGAGGGTGATGACAATGCAAATGAAACAACATTCAAAGAAGGCAAACAGAAGAAAAGAAAATCATTGAAATCTGATGATCTCACACAAGTTGCGAGTACACCTACTCCTACAGAAAAAACAAAGAAAAAAAAGAAAAAGATCAGTACATCAAATGATCAGGATGCTGTAGCAGAAGATCTATTAGAGAAAAAATTTGCAAATTCAACTACTGATACTGAAGAAAATGCTGACAGTAATCCAGATCAGGCTGTTTCTTCAACTAACCTGAACCCTACAGAAATTATTCCTACTGAAGTTGAAAAACCCATCATCACAAGTACCCCAGAAAAAATAAATCCAGAGCTTTCCAAGAGTCCACTACCAATTCCTGAATTCAATATATCTGACCTCATAGTGGTGGATGAAACATTGAACAAGGAAGCTATTGTAGAAATTCTGTCTGAATCAGAATCTGAGGGCTGTGATTTTCGAACTCTAGATGATGTTGGTGATGATATGAAGTTGGCTAATTGCTCAACTCAACATGAATCACTTTCAGATGAAAAAGTAGTGCCTATTGGAGGTGATAATGAAACAACAGTCCCCACTTTGGATTACATGAATTTTGATGTTGATTTGATACAAAAAAATCAATCAGGTACTAATACAAAAAAATTCAGGCCAGACATAGGTGGTCTTAATGCATTTCTTCATTTTTTCTAACATTGATTTCAATTTACCTGTTCTTATTTCCAAAAGTTATTTTAACCCTTTTATTGCGGGAATCCGAAAAACCCGCAAAACGTTTGTACACCAGATATGCGGGAGACGGCTTTTCATGCACGTGTTTTTAACACATTCATATATGGTGTGACCCACTTCTAATGGAACCACCCTTGTATCTTACGTAATCTTTGGGTAAGGATCCTGAAATTTGCTGGAGCCAGAGATATACCAAAAATGCACTCTTTGACCAAGTGGGGTCATCTTCAGTGATATACACTGCTCGCCAACAGCCATGAAACTACCCCAATTTCCGGAAAATGATATTAGGAGTCAAAATAAGTCGAAAATCACTTCAGATTTGGAATCAGGACGCCCAATTTACTAACTATTCGAATTTTTCCTGGAAAATTTTCAGTTCGGAAAAATGAAATTTTGTCGCATTTTTCATGGAAGCACCCCCGTATCTCACGTAATTATTGAGGTAGGGTTCTGAAATTTGCCGGAGGAAGAGAAAGTCCAAAGATAAAGTCAATTACGTGAGATACGGGGGTGCTTCCATAAAAAATGCGACAAAATTTCATTTTTCCGAACTGAAAATTCTCCAGGAAAAATTTGAATAGTTAGTAAATTGGGCGTCCTGATTCCAAATCAGAAGTGATTTCCGACCTATTTTGACTCCTGATATCTTTTTCTGGAAATTGGGGTAGTTTCATGGCTGTTGGCGAGCAGTGTATGTCACTGAAGATGACCCCACTTGGATATAGAGTGCATTTTTGGTATATCTGTCGCTCTAGCAAATTTAAGGATCCCTACCCAACGATTACGTAAGATACAGGGGTGGTTCCATTAGAAGTGGGTCACACTGTATGTCAAGATGCAACTAAACATGTCTCAACAGGATTTAACGATTGTGGGTGCGGTTTTCATTGTATTCAATATTTCAGTATCCAAGTAGTAGCTGCATCAGTTGGTTGGTTTTAATTTGTTTCAAGTGAATTTAATCCACCAATCCACCATGGCTCGAAAATACCTCAATGACGATCAAATTGAAGAGTTGTTGTATACTGAAAGAAACTAAATTCTGCTTTGCGCCTTGTGATGTTCCACTGTGTATTATAAAATGTATTGAAAGTTATCACACTGTCAAAAATCATTAAACTCCATTTCATATATGGAAATATTTTTAATTCATTATAAATATAAGCTATCGCATTATAACATTTCATTTTAAAAAGACCATTGAAATAGAACTTATTTTGAGTTGAAATATTTAAAAAAATCGCATTCACAAGTTATCATGTGATTGCGGGAGACGGGCGTTCCCGCAACGCTAAATTTTCCCCGTTTTGAGAGCACGACTATCAAAATTTTACCCGCAATGAAAGGGTTAAAAATTTGGCACATTTGACTTAACTATCTTCCATTTGGAAACAGGGTAATAATAATTGGTAGAAAGGAAAGAAAAACTCATTTATGAATACATATCTCAAGTTCTAAACTGGCCCTGAGGATTGTACATTTTGGGACCAATTTGCATATTTTTACAAATTTCACTTGCTTCTTTTTTTTATTTCTTTTCGTGTCCACACACTGCACACTCCATAACAATACAAAACAAAATATGTATGTTTTCTATAATATATACAGTGTGACCCATTTAAAATGGAACCACCCCTGTATCTTACGTAATCGTTGGGTAAGGATTCTGAAATTTGCTGAAGCGAGAGATATACCAAAAATGCACTCTATGACCAAGTGGGGTCATCTTCAGTGATATACACTGCTCACCAACAGCCATGAAACCACCCCAATTTCCGGAAAATGATATTAGGAGTCAAAATAGGTTGAAAATCACGTCGGATTCGGAATCAGGACGCCCAAGTTACTAACTATTCAAAGTTTTCCTAGAAGATTTTCAGTTCAATAAAATTAAAATTTGTCTCACTTCTCATGGAAGCACCCCCGTATCTCACGTAATTATTGAGGTAGGGTTCTGAAATTTGCCGGAGGAAGAGAAAGTCCAAAGATAAAGTCAATTACGTGAGATACGGGGGTGCTTCCATAAAAAATGCGACAAAATTTCATATTTCCGAACTGAAAATTTTCCAGGAAAAATTTGAATAGTTAGTAAATTGGGCGTCCTGATTCCAAATCTGAAGTGATTTTCGACCTATTTTGACTCCTAATTTCATTTTCCGGAAATTGGGGTAGTTTCATGGCTGTTGGCGAGCAGTGTATATCACTGAAGATGACCCCACTTGGTCATAGAGTGCATTTTTGGTATATCTCTCGCTCCAGCAAATTTCAGGATCCTTACCCAACGATTACGTAAGATACAGGGGTGGTTCCATTTTAAATGGGTCACACTGTATGTACGTTTTCTAGAATATAATTCTAGATTTCACAATTTTCAGTGATAGGACTTTTTCTATTTTTTGTAAGAATATCACCCTCTGAAATTATGGAAGTTGGTTTGTAACACCATGTATACATACAAATGGAATGTTTCAATGTCGTATTACTTCTGTTGCCCCATACCCCTACCGTAAAAAAAAATTGAAATTCTCAATACTGTTTAGATGATCCTGAAAAGTGGCAGATATCTCACAGAGACAGATCCATCTATTTGAATCTGGATAGAGCTAGAGGTCCGAGGTGTAATAGGTGTAGGCATTTCGGCCATATTGGTATAAGATGTCCCGAGAAACCTAATGCCCCGAGCTGCACCCTTTGCGGGGAACCGAACCACCAAGAACCTAGGTGTCCCAACAAAAGATGCACTCAGGTGATTATTTCTCACACATTCAATGAAGGAAATGTGTAAATTTTCATTTATTTTTGTTTTCAGTGCGGAAATCAAGGTGATTTTTCCACAAGCTACTGTTGGAAATGCTTCAAATTTCGACATTCATATTGCAAGTTATGCAATATGAGGGGTCACATTGAATACAGCTGTCCAGATTTATGGAGAAGATATCATTCAACAGTAAGGAACCATTTTCTATGAAAAATATAATTCGGCTCATGAACCAAACTTCCCTTCTCTCAAATTGAAATTGGTAACACTTTCAGCATTATGAGTTCACTCATTATATTGAAAATTGAGTAGTCCAAAATGGCAATTCATTGGATTTTGATTTGGTTTTGGATTTATGATATTCCAAGTTAATGAAATTTGAAATGTCTATTGTTCTCACTTGGGAATATTCTTATTCATATTCCTCTTGAGGATTCTATCAATCCTTCTTATTTGTTCCTGAAAATGAACAAAAAATGATCGGCATTATATTTTTCATTTGACCCTCTTCTAATTTTCAATTAAAATTGATATTGTCTACAAAAACCAAATTGCACACTTAATCACTCTGGTATTTGTACACATGGTTACTGAAACATGAAACACTCTAGTAAATAATACCAATATTACATTGAACGATCTATTTCAAATTTTTCCAATGGACTTTCCCATTATTTAATGGAAATCCAAAGTGAATGAAAATATTGTACAGACAATGAATTTTTCCACAAAAGAATCACTTTGACTTACTTTTGGTATGCATTAAAGTTAGGCAAAAATAAATGTAAGTAAATTCATTGCACATGATGAAGCGATTGTGTGAGCGAAATATATAGAACTTTTAAGAAATTGATAAAAATCAAGATCTTCCTTGAGACATTCCTCAAAATTTTCTTTCAGACCGGCGTGGGACCGATAGTAACGACCCAAGGGTCCATCCTAGCCAGGGAGCAACAATGGTGCTCAGGATGCGCCGGCCAAGGCCATCTGGAGCACGAATGCGACTACTACAACCGCGAATACCCCCCCACTACCCCTTTCATCGTGCGATACGACGACAATCTAGCTCATAGCGACAATAGGAGAAGGCTAGAAGGGCCATCCCAATTTGTGGCGCCCAACGCACAGACTCCAGATTTTTTGGCGCCCAACGTGCGGAATCCAAATTTTTTGGCGCCCAACGTGCGGAATCCAAATTTTTTGGCGCCCAACGTGCGGGAACCCGAGTTTTCGGCGCCCAACGTGCGGACACCCGAATTTTTGGCGCCCAACGTGGGGCTCCTAACCACGCCAGATTTACCGCTCCTGAGGGCTAACCCCTATGCTATGCCCTTGTTGTTTTTGCCCCATAGAGTGATGCAAAATACCGTGGAGATGGACCCGCGTTTCGTTGTTACGATTCCCAACCCGAGAGCTTCTTCGAGGCCTAACAATTTCGATTTTAGTCACTCGCATGTTGTCGGTGACACAGAGATAGATTTGACCGATGGCACGAAAATCAAGCACTTGATCATGTCAGCGCAATCTAATGTTGTCCATGAGTTTATCGTGAAAGAATTGAACGAGTTGGATAATAAAGTTGCCAACTGCGATTTGAAAATGTTGAGGAAGAAGCTGTTCAAATATGACAGGATGGTGATTGATATAAAGCAAACTAAGGAAATTAGGGAGAAACGTTTCTGGTTCAGGATTTTTAATATGGCCATATTTGGGGTACGCGGAATGTTCGATGGTAAAATGAACTATAATATGCTGAAGAATTTTCTGGGGCAGACGGAAAATACGACTATGTACACGTGGAAGCGCAAAGCACTGTTTGATGCGTATTCTTATATCTTCGGATACGACAAGCGCAAGCTGAATTATTATAAAGTGATGCAACTGATGATTCAGAAACAGGATGAAGGAAAACTTCAAAAGTTCACACAATGTAGGTAGGCTTTCAAGCTGTCACAGGTCTTATATTTCACTGTTCAAAGAATCATATTTTTGTTTAAAAATAAATTTGTTATATTTTCTCGAGTATTTTTACTTTCCCACACCAACATTACATCAACTCACAGGGTGTCATGAATACATTTTTGATTTGCATGATATTCGTCCACTGAAAATATGAAAATTGACCATATTTTGCTTGGAAAGTTAGACATTTTGTGTTATTTGTTGGCAGCAGTTACTCTTAAGCTGAGTGACATTTGTCGAATGCATTAATTAACTCGTGTCAGTGTCAAATATAATAAGCTCTTCTCAAGTGGCTTTTTGATGACACTTGACAGGCCTAAAAGGTTCACTTCGACTGCCTAGGCAGAAAAGTCCCCAACAAGTCTATACAACTTCTTAGCACACCCTAAGGTCAAAATGAGCCGATTTGAAGCAACTTACCTCAGTTCGAAATTGCTCCGTTTCCGAGATAAAGGGGTGGTAAAAATATGAACATTTTTGAACGTATTCGCATGCGGGTTTTTTTGGGATGCGAAACCCTAATACGGGACACCTTTTCACTGTGGCCATTGGAGGGCGCTTGCCAAGGAATGGAATGGTCATAACTTTTTTCCCTGTGTAGTTTTTCAAGCTAATATGGTATAGTCTCGTGAAAATTCGCTAAAGTAAGCTAATTTCCAGATATTTCCAGATATTTCGTCTCGTGTTTGATGCCGCACCAGAATATTTGAATTATTTTGGACAAAAAATTCTTGAATTTTCGAGCAACCAGCATGTCCAAATATTTCTTATTCTCCATAACGAAATGTCATGTGAATGTTGGAGACTTGGCAACATTGTGCTGAATGCTGAGAACTGACAAGACCACGCCCACAAGTCGTGAGCGGTGAGCGGAGTTGTCACGTTCACCGATCCAAATGTCCTCTAGTGTGAATTAATATGATTATAATTCACACAAATTTATTATATGCAATAAGCCACAAATCATAAGGGAACATATTTTGAGACAATTGAATTTTTATTGCTGATTAGGAATATTACCAATCCTCAATTGAGAATTTATGAATGAATTATCGAATAACTAATACTTCTGAAGTTGCTAATCGTATTTCATCACTTGGCAACTGTGCTATGGTCTGCCCCTACTTACGAAATCGTGGCATCAGTTTTTACTGACAGTAAATTCCTAGCCGTTTGAAAATTACCACGGCATTATTGATGATTTTAGCACATAAAAATCAACCGAAAAATTCTTAAGAAATATGAAATTAGAAGGTATATGAGTATATGATTCCATTAAATAAAAAAAAACTAGTCCACTCGCCAAAAAATAAAAATACATTAATTTCCTCAAAAATAGCAGGAATAGAGCGGAAATTGATACAGATTCCGAATCAGCACGTCATTTCGGATCGGAAAAGTGATATTAATTACTTTAGAAAATTTCAGAACTGTTAGGATCTCTCTCTCTCTCTCTCTCTGAATATATGGCCTCTTGTTTACGACATACAGCCAGAGCCCTTATTACGGAGAATCCGTCCCCATCCGGCCTGGATACCGGCGTAAATAATGAGGGTTTTGTTTTTGAGCACCCTGGATGTCTCACTCGAAGTGATACCAGGTATTGTGCTCTTTTAGCGTTTCAAACTCACAAAAACATTAACCTGACTTCCGACCTGATGACTTCCGCCGTGGTCGGAAGTCGAATCTCCCAACTGTCAGGATAAGAGCCAAATCTCTCAGTTTTGGAGACAGGAACATTATATCCAAAGGAAATATTATGCCAGATTGAGGAATAACGACCTGAAACAAAAATTGATAAAACATAATCTAAGGTGAATTGCCAAAACGGTCACAGACCCATAATCTGAATGTTAAATTCCAATCATTTTATCATAAAGAAAACACATTTCCTAACACTGGCTGTATTCTTTATTCATACATCGTTTAATAACACTGCTAGAAAATATTCAAACAAACCAAACTTCCAAGACTGTAAATTCATGAAACTCCTTCCAGTTTTCGTCTTCACCAACGGAGACTTATCTCGTCAAGACCTCTTTTCCAGTCGAACTCGTTTTTCTTCGTGAACACCAATTCCACTTTCTCTTTATCCCATTACCGGACCTTTTTCGGGCCGAAAATAAGATCGGCGTCGGGGGCCCCCTTGGGGTGCTGGTATTTCTTGCGCTCCCTGTTCAAATTCTGCGTCGCCGGCCTGTTTTGCTGCTGGATCATCTCCTGGTAGTCCTCCTCCTCGAACCTACACATTTTATGGGCCCGATTTCATTATACAAGGTGTCAAGAGTTCTCCTTTGAATGACATATCTCAAGTATACATTTGTTTTCGAAATTGCGGTGCAGGAGACATTTTTTCTAAAATATGGCGAAACTGTGACGTCATCGATAGAATTTTCGTCAAGCAATCTGATGAAATAGCAAATAAACGAAGCACTTTGTTAAGTTTTTGATGAAACGTCCCAAAATTTAGTTCCATCGTCAAGCAGTATTTTTTCTGGTAAATCCTTTCTTTTTTTTTTTTCGAGAAAGAATTGATATTTTCAGGACATGAAGAATGTGAATTCTCAATGTATTTCTTTATATACAGGGTGAGTCAGTTTTTTCAAGACGAAAATCTCACATAAACATATATGCGTGGGAGCTTCGTTTACGATATACAGGGTTTCAAAGTTTGCCCGACCCCAAATGTGTAACATCCTGTAGATTTTTAACAGTGCTCGATAGCACCAAATATTAAGTTTTCAAAGTGTACTAGGGGTACCAAATTTCAATTCATTATTTTGAAAAATATAGGAGAAAGCTTGAAAAGCATAAGAAATATCTCAAACATCGAAACCCTGTATATCGGAAACGAAGCCTCCACGCATATATGTTTATATGAGGTTTTCATCTTAGAAAAATGTGTTTTTTGAGCTGTTAAAATCCTGCTACAAAATACGTACTCGAAAAATAAAGTTTCATTACAAGTAAATTATTTTCGGCATTTATCTTGAAACCCACACAGTTCTCGAAAAAACAAAAGGAAGCCAAAAGTATCCAAATTGAAGAGATAATCGGAATTGATGTTCCATAGAAAACAGAGGCGATACGCAAAAAAGTTCGAGAGGGACTCGGTAACGACCCTCAAAGGTGTATCATCCTGTAGGTATTCAAGAACGCTCTATAACCCCAAATATTGCGTTCGTAAAGTGTGATAGGTGAACCAAATTTCAATCTATTATTCTGAAAAATGTAGGAGGAAATTCGAAAAACACAAAAAAAATTCAAACTTTCAAAACCCTGTATATCGGAAACGAAGCTCCCACGCATATATGTTTATAGAAGATTTTCGTCTTGAAAAAATGTCTCCTTTGAGCTGTTAAAGTCCTGCTACAGAAGACTGACTCTCCCTGTATATGTCCATTATTTCATGTTCATAATTTATCTGAAAATCTTCTTTTTCAACTAAATGTTGATGTTAAATTCAAGAAAGTACCATTTGAAAAATCTGTGGCAAGATTTGATTACTCAGAAATAAATTGTTATAACTTTCATCTTTTAGGGTAATAAAGACAATTAAATCAAAAATTTACTTGAAATTTTGAAGAAAATTCAAGGAAAAAATTACTGGAAGGAATCCTGATTGGCGATGTATAAAGTGATTCGTTCAATTGCTATTTTATCAGGACGAAAATTTGGTCGAAGACGTCAAACTGACGCCAATTTTTCAGAAATATTTGATCGAATAGCATGCAAATATTTACAGGGTTCCATGAAAAATTCTCGACCTAAATATATCAGGTTAAGCCGGAATTAATAATAATTTTGTTCATGGAAAATATGGATTTTGATTAACTTATCTGATTCAAATGTCAAAAGTCTAACATAAAAAAGATTCCATTGTCACCCAGTAAACTAAATTCGATAATTCAAACAATATGTGTATTATATGTACTGTATTTTAGAGATAATAAAGGTTATCAACCTTTCCGTGATGTTCAGCGTCAGTCTTTTGACCTTCTCCTTTTCCTCCTTCTGAGCTTGTTCCTGATCTCTCAGATTCTGCGCTAGCTCAGAATCCACGTTCGCTTCGAATTGCTTGTATTGTTGTTTGTTCCCCTTGCGCACCATCAGAACAAAACCTATTTTGCTTTTTTTGCTTTGCTCCTCGTCGATTGATTCCTATCGAAAATAAAATAGGATAGGCTGCGAATTTTTTTAAACCCTGGCATAAATTGAAAGAAGTCTTCAATTACTAGAGAATCACTCTTTTTAAAAAAAATTGAAAAAAACGAGAAATCTTGTTGAAGAGAGATAAATTGTGGTGTTCCTCAGGGAACGCTTTCAGGTCCTATTCTATTTATCATTTATATTTATGATACATTGAATAGTTCCTGATATTAGGTGCTGGAAAAATGTGAAATACAAGCAGATCAAAGGTTCTACTCACTTGAAGCTGTTCATAAGTTTTCTTGATATTATTTTTCAGAACGACAGGTACAGAAATGTCGATGTTACCGGCTTTGACGGGTTCTTTCATCCGCTCCTGTATATTTTCCGATACCATTTTATCTAAGGCGTTCAAGAAATCGTCGTCCTCAGGACAATCGACTTTTTTCGGACCTTTCGGAATCGCCAAAGACTCAGAAACGGCCTCTTGTTCAGCCTCACTAGTCATAGGTTCACCTATAACAAAAAAATCAAACAGGGTGACTACTATTCGAGAAATATTAAAAACGTAGGAGAACGTTACCACCGATAAAACAAGGCCAGCAGACTCTGACGTAAACAGCTCGTGACGTCGCATACTCAGGCCATCTTCCAAGGCATTCGCGTCGATCGATCGTCAGTTTGTTTTTGTTTAAGAACGGTGGCGTAGGTAAATCGCGTGTGCTTGAATTCTCTTGTTGTTTATTCATCAAAATAATTGGCGGAGAAATTACTGTTTTGTGAAATATTTCGTGTTGTGATAGGCGAAATAACAATGCCTTACAAGTGTTGTGTTCCCTTTTGTCGGGGGAATTATGTGGGTGGTCCAAAAGTTCATGCTTTTAGTTTCCCGTTGGACAAGGAACTATCGAAGAAAAAGTGGGTACATGCAATTCACCGCAAGGATTTTACGACTCCATCTAAGTACAGTAAAGTATGTGAATTACATTTAACTAAAGATGATATTATTACTTCATCTACTGCAACCGATTCAAAAACTGGCAAAACTGTAACAATAGATTTGAAAATTCCTAGGCTCAAACGAGATGTTATTCCCACTCAATTTCACAACTGTCCATCTTATTTATCGAAAGATGTAAAATTACGCACAAGTCGTGATGAAAAACTTGAGATACTAGAGACTAAAAATTTGGCACAAGCACTTACCAAAAGTGAAACTGAATTCGAAAATTACCAAAAATCATTTTGCTACACAGAATTTCAAGAATTTCTAGTTGTATTAGAGTCTTTTCAGTTGCCCGAAAAGTGGTTCAAAATTATCGATTTGCGAAAAGTCACATTATTCAAATTGTCTTATTCTCCAGGGCCCGTAATTACATATACAATTGTGATTGATTTTGTTTTGAATGTGGAATCATTTTTGTATGACCTAGCGATACAAACATCTCTAAAAGCCAATCTGAAAACACCTTTTATCTCTAATAATATCAATCAAATCAAGGAATTACTAATTGAAATAGATAAAAACGAGATACATAATTCGGGAAAATGTCTTGATAATCAGAAAAAGAGGGTTTTGAAACATATTTCGAATGCATTGAACTCTTTGGTTTCTGACTCAATACATTCTCAAATTTTTTTCTGAAAACGGTCATTTGCCTCATGGCAATGAATGCAGAATTCATTCCAATTAACGACCAATTGGGTAAAAAATCCAACAACAGGAAATTGAAAACACTCACTGGCTAATTTTTTAGGTAATAGGAATTCTCCAAGATAAATATAGGTAATTAGGTATAACGGCATGTCTATCAAACTAAAATACATTTTCCCCAATTTTCTTTCGATCAATCTCATGATAAGTTTATGTTCTGCGGGCCCTGTATAAGTAGGTGTGAAGTTTACCTCTAATGAGATTGAATCACTACAATTTTTGCCAATATATTTAATTCGAATGGGTTGCTGTAGGTGGGTATTTGTGTTTTATTCTGGTTTTTGCTTTGAAACTTCGTTTTTCCATAATAAAATCGAATGGGATGCGAAGAAGGGCTCAGTTGACGGCTGGCATCCTCTTTCAACCGGAAGCCCTTCAAAAAAAAAGCAAAATCGGCTCAATAATGAATAATGATCTAAAACTAAAATCGAAATACGCGGTCGCCTTATAGCGCTATAAGCGCTTGTCGTTTCGAGCCGCTGGTTAGGCCTGACTAAGTGACGTCACCCACGGAGCATGCAGGCCTTGTTTTATCGGTGGTAACGAGGAGAACCGGCTGCAATTTCAATCGTCATCTGATAACGGAATGACATACAGAGAAGTGCACAAAAAACGGCCAGGACTGTAATTTTTGAATTATTCGAGATAGGGTTTTGAAAGTTGGTGGGCAGCAAGTAAGTATACCAAATTGCTCATTGATTGATGAAACAATTTGTTTTTTATCTGGATAATGATTGGCCACAGACTAATACCTTCGTCATCGGATCCTTGTGTATGGTCCATAGTTTCATCCTCGGTGGCGGTATCATCAGTAACAGGTCCTGTCACCGCCTCGGACGTTTCGTCATCCAAACCGTCCTCATTATCCGTCTCCGCTATGGTGTCCAAACCGTCCTCCTCCGATATTTTATGATCGACCTATTTTTTTTAAGAGAAAATCAACTTCTACAAGAACACGGTTGAGCAAAAGATAAAATAATTTGGAAAAATGGAAAAATAATTACCAGTCTCACCAATCAAGTGAATTTTGTTTCTGAAGAATACAACAACATAAAATGGGACAAGCATATATCATTGGAGCCATAGATCTAAATCATCAATCACACTTGGAGCTTTGAGAAGATGTTCTAGACTTAAAAATTGTTGACATTTCAAAATTCAATTAAAAAACACATGATTTCATTTCAAAATAGATAAAACTGATACTTTGCCATCAACTGATTGATCCCTTTTGCTGTTATGTTATGGTTTGGTGGATAGCATTTTAAGATTGTTTAGATTTTTTTTCGTCACCTTATGTTATTTCTATTATTATTGTTCGTAATCATTGATACTTAGAATCGTGGAAAAAATAGAAATTTGACACTGACCTCCAAAAGTTTTTCCACACCCAGAGCCTTGCGAATATTGTCCACCTCATCCACCGCGTCCTCGTAACTTTTACATAATTTCAGTTTGGGCCTTAGGGTCAGCAGGGTTTCCTTGAAGAGGTGTTCCATCATGGGCGGGAAAGCTTCTTTCCACATTTTCTTTTTGAACCAGTAGTAGGCTTGCAGGAATATCAGGTAGTAGTCGAGTTTCTTTTTGCTGCTACCGCTACTGAAGTAAGTTCCTGCAAGAACGATATCCTGATTTTATTCAATCACTAAGGAAGATGGTACCGTACGTTGTATACTCTATTATACAAATCATTTTCAGTCGATTGCACCCCTGTGCTAAAGGTTAACGTGACAAAAATTCGGTTAGGAGGCAGTGCCGGATTTATACACCCTTACGCCGGGGGCTAACTTTAACGATGCCGCCGCGCCGCCGTCAAATATTAAATTTCAATTGTCAGTTTCAAAATTCAAATAATCCTCTTGCTACTTTTTTACAGCATTATGTACAACGAATCAAATTATATTTACTTCTCACGTTAAACATATGGATACTAAAATACTTTTCTTGATTTTTTGATGCAGAGTCGTCAATGGCATCATCAAAATTCAGATTCAACAACATGTTACTGTTAATAATTGAAATTGATGAGCTATTGAATGTATCCTCTACCATGGAATTCCTAAGGTAGTTTTCCACTCTTCTTAAAGTTGAGAATGACCTTTCACCACTGGCATTACTAATCATCAGGGATAGGAAAATTCTTAGAGCTACTTCCACGTTGCAAAAAGTATCTGTGATCTTGTATTTTTGTAAAGGCGCCATCAACGATCTTGCATTGAATATTTCATCTCTTTTGTTTTCGGCAATTGAATTCAAATCAATAAAAACACGTGCTTTATCTTTGATGACATCATCTGGCAGAGATGCAATTGAAAACAAAAATGCGAATGTAGAAGAGAAATCTTTGTAGGCTTCAGCACGAATATTTACTTCACCCACCAAATGGTTGACTGCTTTGAGGAATACCTGGGTTCGCATTCTGGTCTGTGGTGTCAATAAAGCTTCAGTGTCAGCTTCTTCAAGAGCCAGTTTCCTCTTACGGGTTCTGACCTCCTTATAGTTGAGAGATACGTGTCCAGGCCTATGATTGAGTTTTGCAGGGACTTGCTGACTTGATCTGCTCTCTCAAATATATCATTCCAGAAAACAACCAGATTTTTTCAAATTTCAGTTTCAATATTCATTTATTATAATAATACCAACGACAACCTATTAAATACTGAACTATGATTTTGTTTTTTGTTATTGAGTTAGACGAATCACGAAATTACCCCTACTCTACTGAGTAGATTTTCACAAAAACAGTATCTCAACCAAGTCCTTTTGAACGGTGCCAGTGGTAGCTAATTGCGCGTTTGCTCCAAAAGCCAAAAGGCGACTGAAGAGGCGGCATATAAAAAGCAAGAAGCAATATAATATATTTGTCGCCTTGTCGGCGACGATCGACTGTATTGCTGCTTGCTTTTTCTCTTTTTCTCTACCGCCTCTTGAAATTGACCGCCGGGGGCTGATAGTCCCATAGCCCCCCCTAAATCCGGCACTGTTAGGAGGGTAAGAATAAACACTTGTTTTCGTTTTGTTACTACTCCCAGTTAGGTGTATGTCTACGAATGAGGATATTGCACGAAACATATTTTTTAATTGTCTATATACTTGAATACAGTGGCATACCATTTGACCGCAGCGTGTAAGTAACACGCCAAGGTCCCTAAAAGCCCGAAATAATAACAATAATGGTCTTTATTGTATGTATAACAAATTAAATATAAAAAATATATATTATCATCTTATATTAGACCAGAAGGAGGCGAGATTTAGCCCAAAGCTACTCTTACACCTAACCTCCTCATGGTCAGCATTTCACAAAACAAAAATAAAAATGGCAATGGCCGTGCAAAACAATTTAATGGAGCCACAGTATGTGCGTTCGCACACCCAGATGCAGTCATGAACAGGCAACAATAATTAACAATGAATGGATAGCTAATGAAGCTGCACCAGTCATGTATTTTCTGAATGATCGTGAACTCATCATCTCAACATGCTTAGGAATTGAGTTGTAAATTTTGACAGTATTGTCCGTGAAGCCCCTTTGAAATAAGGATGTCGAATGATGTGACACCGTAAGATTATCTTTATGTTTAACGTTAACCCAGTGAGTCCGAAATCTTGGTAGCAAATTAATGTTCCTATCAGCAATATTGTCATTGTTTCTCACCATTTTGTAGAATGGATAAATGAAGTTTCCTACGGTTTTCCATATTGAACCAGTATAGCTCTCTAAGTTTACCGGAAACATGATCATAGCGACGTAAACCATATATAAAGCGTACGCAGAAAGTTCTGTACCTTTTGTATCTTGTGTACATACAGGGCATCAAGACGAGGACCATATAAAAAAATCACAATAAGTGAGCTGAGAGAGAACAAGACTGTCACACATAGTATAGTAATTTTCCTAACAAGTGCGGAAAGTGATTCTTTCCCGCACGTGACTGCCGTTGACATGAACGACGCGAAGCGGAGTTCGGGCAAGCAGTCGAGTGCGGGAAAGAAACTTTCCGCATGAGTTAGGAACAATATTTTTTCTACAAGCGTAGGAAATTGATTGAATCGTTCAATTAATTATTCAAGCAAATAGGAACAACTAACAAGAGATATATATATTCTCTATCTATTAATTATTAGTAATAGCTATTGTGAACTTACAGTTTGACGCATTATGTTGGTTCATTGCGGAAGCCAGCAGGCCCATTAGGAGTTTGGTCTCTAGGTTCCAGACACTTCTATGAAATGACCCAAAAATACCTATTCTTCATTCGGTTTTTTCATTTTTTTATTGTTGCACCATTCAATAAAACGCGTGTATAGCTTGTCATACCTTTCTTAAGACTTCGTTGGTGATAACGCATCTGTATCAAATCCCTATAGCTAGAAGTTTTTGATCACATTGTGGCATTTCCACTGAATCGAAAATGACAGTAACGCTGTGTCTGTCACTTCGACAATTTCAAACTTATTTGAGGTTTGATTGGCATGACAAATTGACGTTTCCCGTCAGATCAATCCAAATCTATAGGGGGATTTTTATAATAATCAATTTTTATTTCTCAATATTTCTTAATTTTTACAATAAATAGTGCAATTTGATGGATGATTCTGAACATACAAACTTAAACTTTTATATTCCATCACCAACCACTTTCATTACTAGTGATTTTATCATATCTTTGCTTTCCCGCACTAGTGCGGGAAAAAATTTACCGCACTAGTGTGGGAAAATTTTCCTGCACTGTTGCGGGAAAATGACACTTCCCAAACTACATTGCGTGCGGGTATAGGGTGAAACACGCACGCTTGTAGAAAAAGTTCTTTTCAGGACGTTATCTATATGACTTTTGAAGCGTAAATCATTGTCAATGATCAATCCAAGATTTTTAGTAGTGTTCACTACTGTCAAAGGGGAATTATTCACTGACTGAATGAGATTGTCACGGACAAACTCGCGAACATTTTTTGAAGAAGAAATTATTATTTTTGACTTGGATGAGCTCTTCTGGTTGATAATTTCTAGTTCCTTGTTCATAGCATCTTGTGATTCACCAATGTCATCCTTAGGAAAGCTAAGTAACATCTGACTATCATCGGCATACGCATGTATGTTACAGGTGTTCAATAATTACAACATTTTATGCAAGATCCTTTTAGACATTCATTCACTTTCGATGTGGATTTATTCATGATTTTGAATTGAAATTACTGGAAAACCAGTGACATTAATTTACCGCCCGCCGGACTACTTTACCGTCCGCTGTACTTCTTTATCGCCTTGGGGCGCTAAAGTGCTACTTTACTTCCGCTAATCCGGGCAATAAAGTTCCACTTTTCGTCCGCTGGTGCACAAATGTCATTTTTTGTAGAGGTCGACAAAAAATTAAATTTAAACGAATTTTCCCTCGCTTACCGCAAGTTTCCAATAAAACGCAAGCCAACCGTATCCGGAACAACTGATGGGGAGGGTCCAATGGAGATATGTCGCAGGGGTCCATGGACACCCCGAACGATATCAACGAGTACAACACTTTGAACACGTCCGAACTCTCCACCATCCGATAGTTGTACAACTCCCCCAAGTACTTGACTTGCGCAATGCGCCGCTGATTGTACTTGGGCAGGTTGACTTCCATGCCGAGGCGGATGCCTTCTAGAACGCCGTCCACCACTTTGGTACCAACTTCTTCCTGGTAAGCTACCAGACCGGCCAGGAGATTGGCCAAACACCTAAAAATTATTCGAAAACTCTTTTTTTTTTATTAGAGGAGGTACGAGGTCGTGATTCTTTAACCCGGCGTCACCCAGGTGGAAAATCTGTACAGTGTCTCAGTTTTCGATGTTTTTGGGTGATATCTCAGTTATCTTTGGAGATAGAACCTTGCGTTTTTGGCGGTCCTGTGCCACTTTTTTGTGAAACTCAAGATGGCCTAATCAGATTTTGCATAACTGTTTCCGTTTTTGAGATACAGGGTGATCTTGGAAATTCACCCCCTCTATATCTACTAAGTTTCTCAGCGAGAATGTCAAATTAAAATCTTAGCTCATAGAGAATTTTACGCAGAATCCAATGGCGCACTCAATTTTTTTTTCGGGGTATGGTTTTGGAGATACTACCCAAACTTATGAGTTATGGAATGCAACACCCTGTATTTTATCAGCTCATTAAATTCCTTATTTTTTTCCCTTCAAACTGATATATAATATATGAATATAAAAATTCCAAAATCACTAAAACATTGAATTTTAAACGGATTGAATGGATTTTTCATATAAAAAAGTTCCAATTGACGGAAGTTATCCTTTGATTTTTCCATGAGGAGGACAGAAACAATAACAACACTAATTAACTAACAAAACACTTAGTTAGCTGATAGCAACAAATAAATAGTAATAGAAAGTTTATAATTTAGAATAAACATCTGATTAATTATATACTAAAACAATTGAATGTCGAAATTATTCAGTAATTTATTCATTGAATTGTTCAAATTGATATCCATTTTCCCTCACACACTTTCTCAATACGTCTTATGCATTCAAAATCATTAAAGGATGTCTTTGTAATTTCTTGAAAACTGTCTCTGTTGTTGCAGGAAGTTCTTCAAGATTGTTGTGCCTCTAACTGCATCAAGACATAATTATTGAGAAAGTGTGTCAATTGTGTGAGGGAAAATGGACATCAATTTGAACAATTCAATGAATACGTTACTAAATAATTTCTAAATTCAATTGTTTTAGTGAATATTTAATCAGGTGCTTATTCTACATTATGAGGTTTTTATTACTATTTATTTGTTGCTTTCAGGTACATAACTTTGTGTTTTGTTATTAATTAGTGTTGATATTGTTTTTGCTCTCTTCATGGAAACATCGATAGAAATATTCCTCAAATCGGACCTTTTTTTATGAAAAATCCATAGCCCACTATTAAAATTCAATGTTTTTGTGATTTTTGAGCATTTTTGAAAATTTTATATCTATACATCTAAGATTATTTTGAAGGGAAAACTAGGGAATTTAATGAGCTTATAAAATACAGGGTGTTCCATTTGAAACATCATAAGTTTGAAGTAGTATCAGCAAAACCGTACCCTGAAAAAAAAATTGAGTGCGCCACTGGATTCTGCGTGAAATTCTCTATGGGATAATATGTTAATTTGTCATTTTCGCTAAGAAACTTCGCAGATATTGAGGGGGTTCAATGAGTATAAATTTTCAAAATCGCTCTGTATCTCATAACCTGAAACAGTTATGCGAAATCTCATAAGGCCATCTTGAGTTTCACAAAAAAGTGGCACAGGACCGCAAAAACCGCAAGGTTTTATCTCCAAAGATAACTGAGATATCATGCAAAGCATCATAAACGGGACACATTGTACTTTTTTTTTTTTAGTTTTAGCGGTACACCAATTCAACAGCCGATGCCTATTACAGAATGGGTAAATAACAAGTTTTGTACAAATTCGAATGGAAAAGTTAAGCACGAAGCCGCGGAGCGTCGAGTTCGTAATTCCATGAGTTCGTGATTGCTTTACAACACGCATAACGTACTATACTTTACCTACTGCCAGTGCCGGACTGGCCCATCTCAGCTGAGTGAGATTTTGAACAATTGGGGCCCCCAATGAGTCGTGCTCGTTCTCTTGGATGTAGTCCAAGAACCGAATGCAAATTTCGACCGTCATGATAACGAATTGACATATGTCCCATAAGCATGTGAAAACGTATATTTTGCTCTGGTCCATCGGATATAGTCTTTCGTCAGGGGCGAAATATTCACGGTGTTAGCATCTAGCAACTAGATGCGCCACTGCTCAGTGGAATGTGCTTAGATCAGAGCCTATGACAGACGTGTGTAAAGACTGGTTCATATAGTATTCGGCTGATGGCAGCCGAGTGGTGAGCAAGTGTAACCCTTGTCCATGTCATTTGTGCTCGTGTTTATTATATTATGACCATAATATAACAAATATTGACGCTCTGCCACTAACTTAGATCAGTTTGAATCATCATCACGTGACTAAAGTATGTCCGGAATAACGGCAGCAAATAAATCGCTGTGTCGTGGATTTGACTCAGATTAAGGTGTGGCACAGATAAGGGTTTTGCGATCTACCATCCAATTGGTAGCGGATGGCATAATTCTAATCTCGTTATCAATTCGAAAAGAAACAAAAATAAATGAAGGTAAAGATCACAAATATAATAATTACCCAAATCCGCCGACGTTGCTACCTCACTGTTGCTACTGTTGCCAGGGATCCTCAAGCATTTGTAAGTACAGTCGCCTTCAAAGGACATGTCGTACATGGACGGTGTCAGTTCTCTTGATTATTGCTGCAATAAGAGTGCTCATACCGTCCGACCGCGACATGTTCACTGAAGACGAGTGTACATACATGTTGTTTCATGTTTCTGGCAACTACTGGTGCCAATTTTATTTTCTTAACTAACTTATTCGAAAAAGTATTGTTTCCATGTTTCAATATTGAGAGTGTGTTTCGATATTTGCTATTATACCATCGAGATCCCAAGTGGGGGCCCCGTGAGATTTTTCTCACCACCTCACCGGGCCAGTCCGACACTGCCTACTGCCATAAGTACATCAAAAAAGTTTGGACAAACAGTCAAATGGCATCCGCTGTTGACGGCGATTACGCGATCATGACATGACAAACCATATCCATTGATTCGATGATGAAATGCTACACGAAGAAAAAAGTTTGCTCAAATCGAGAGGAGTAAAAAATTCAATACATGAAATTTCAACAATATTCATACTATAAATAAGAATATCCTGAAATAATTGTATAAAATGTTTCAACACTAACCTTATATTGAAGTACTTCAGATTGTGTGCCCCAGTCAAACACTTGACAGTATAGGAAGCTACACCCTGATTGGTCCAATCCAGCTTCCTCACCAACCGCATAATCTTATCCGTATTATTCTTCTGCAAATCCTGATACAACAGCTTCCTTATAAACTGATGCATCACCGGCCTCTCCTTCTTCGTAATAGTCACCGTTTCAGGCGGATTCACGTAATAGTAAGCATTCTCAATTTGCGTCACATATCTCGAATCCAGAGCCATAACGGCCTTTTTTCTCATCATCTGCTCCAAGTAGACTTTAGTCCTTTGGTGCGAATCCGGGCTGCAGTATAAGAATCTTCCGCACACTTCCAACAGATTGCAAGCCATCTCGATATGGTGGTGGGAGAAATCGTGTAGAAGTACTTTCAGACAGTACAAGGCCTCGATTTTCGAGTACAACTTGAACTTAACCAGCTCCCCCACAAACCTGACAACCTTTATCTTGGACTCGATGTTGATCTGGTCCTTTTTCCGGACGTGGTACTTGAAGTCCTGCCGGAGCATTTGACTCAGATCGTTGCCTACTTCCGGTAGAGCGGGTTGCAAGATGGCTACGAAACGAGCGTAGAAAGGAAGCAAGTCCAGCCGAGTTCTGTTGACTCCGAACAAGTTCCTGACTAGCTTTTTGCGGTTGTGTTTGTTGTTTAAAGTAACTAGAAAGTCGATGGCTGCGTTATCTATCATTTCTCTGTTGACGCAGTTCGGTAGATTGTTGAGGAAGGCTTCTAGGACTATTTTGTTGCTGGCGTTTGTGGATGTGGGGTCTTCGGGTTCGTCTTCCACGACTAGGGTTTCTTCTGTTCTGCCTTGAAGCAAAGATTAGGAACACTATAGGTAAACGGGTGGTGAGGTAAAACGATCATCATGTTAACTTGCGTCTTGTGAACCCGTTTATCCACAGGGTGTTTTTAAATAAATGCGAAAAACTTCAGAGGGTGATTCCTTCTGATATTTTAGGACATAAAGTTTATATAAACATGTGTCCTATATTGATATTGTCACGAGTAGAACATACGGTATATCAGTAATTTCGAACCATGGTCCATGAGGGTTTTATAAACATAAAGTAAATCAAATCATCTGTTGACATTGAATTATAAAAACTGACCAAGGAACTCTCATGAGAAACGTGCAAATCTAATAAAATGATGTATATAAATATTGGATGTGAGGGTTCCGAAGTTAGTCTGGCCTGGGGCTACTCTTGACTTGACAAGAGCTCGTCGTATGGTCGTTATAATGTAAGTTGTTATTAGGTCTTTATATTCATTGTTGTTTATTCATATTTGTCATCACTACCCATAATGTTTCATGCTATTATAAATATTGTTATGTTTGAATGTAGTCTCGTACTTTCAGTTACCCCTAAACTATTAGTGCCTATTTAAATATTACCTCTCGCGAAATATTGAGCCAAGCATTACCCCTTATGAATCGATATAAATCGATATGGTTGGATTAACCATCCTTTTATATCGTAACATGGTGGGAACACAACTCTTTTGTTGTGACAATATTTCCATGGAAAATCGTCATTACTCAAATCTATTTTCATGGATTTTAATTGAACTTTGTGGTTTTGTTGATAGTAATATGATGGTGCTCCTTTTGGTGCAATTAGATTGGAAATAATATTTCTAGTGGCGTTACAGTGGGTAAATTTATCGGCGTTACAGTGAGTAAAATCGATATTCATGATGAATATCATTGTCATTATCTCTTACCGATGATATGTCGCAGTTCTGTTGATAACAACGATGTTATCGTCATATATACAAAACAAAAAATTATTTGGAAGCCGCCATCTTAAATTTATAAATTTTAACAAAAAAATCATGATCTCCGATTAGCTTGGAATTTGGCAGGTGTTCATGGTTTTGAAGACAATACATTATGGAATTTTTGTTGAAATTAAAAAAAATGGCTGCTCCAAGATGGCGGACAAGATTTGGTCCGATTTCATTCAAAATTGGTAAATGGGGGTTTTTGAGGTCGGAGATCATGATTTTTTTGTTAAAATTTATAAATTCAAGATGGCGGCTTCCAAATAATTTTTTGTTTTGTATAAATGACGATAACTCCGTTGTTATCAACACAAAACTATTACTGCGACATATCATTGGTAAGAGAAAAAAAAGTTATTTGTGATCAAGTCATTGTGAGCTATGACCTACATTTGAAAAACTAAAGTTGGTGCTGATATCTCAAATTCTAGAAGAGTTGATATGAATTTCATATTTTTTTCGAAATCACTTTGAAAAACTGCCATGAGAATGTGGAATTCCTATTTTAATATTTTCATGAATAAAGAAGTTACGGAGGAAACATGAAAATAACCAAAATCTGTTTTTTGCGTATAAAACAAAAACGAATAGATTTTATCAAAATATTTTTTCACATTATAGTTGGCCTTGACAAACTACACATTTGGTGTCATTTAACCGACCTCGTATCTCTCACCGTTGAAAAGATACCCATGGTGAGCATGGTAAGTGGGACACACTGTATTGAACAATTGAAATAGAACTTTCTTATACCCTGTGTGATTTTTGTATCTAGCTTAGTTTTTGAGGAACAATAAAAATTCGATTAGACCCATAATTTTAATGTACAGTCGTATTCAATAAAAAAGTGTATGTACAAGTATTAAAAAGAGAGGATTTCAGGATCCTAGTTCTAGTTGTGTAAAACTGACTCAGCCAATACTTTGTGTTTTCGAGAACCTATAACAACTTTACTGTAAGCATTTGGAGAACAATCATTCCCGATAGCCCGTTTTATGCAGAATAGGATGCCGTTAATTTCTCTCTGTAATATACTTGTACGCTTTTTTTTAATGCGACTGTAGGTGTTTCAAGACAGCCATTGAGACTAATCAATTACCCCAATAAGGATAATTTTGAAATGGAAAAAACCATACTGAAGTTTGGCACCATGAAATTTTGACAGGGGGGGTTTGAAATAAAAACAATGAATACTTCCAACTTCAACATCTTATATTATCTCAGGAAAGAAGCCAGTTAGGACACATGTTCATAATTATGAACTTTCCTGTAACATCACAAGGAATCTCCTCTTGTAGTTTATCGGACTTATTCATTTAGAAACACCCTGTATAGTGTTAATAATATTTGCTGAAGACATAATATAAATTGGTCACATAGAGATAAATTGTTTCTTTTGTTTATTAGTACAGTAAGAAGAAACATGTACCTTTCACAAGCAGTCTAGATGAAATAAATAAAAAAATTGTTATTTAGTGAGTTGGTAGTGAGTTACTACAGGCCCTATAACTTGTTCAAAACAACTTACTTATAGCACAAAAATTGAATAATGATAGATGAATAACATTAGATACCATTAGAATCATTTCAATAGAACAGAACATATACACTTTTGTGGTCCAGTGATTTACTGAATCCAAAAATCAATAAAAAACACAGAAAAACAATGACTATAGACGGTGTTTTTGCTAGATTTTGTGAGGTTGGGATGGATGGGTTATTTTGGGTCAGAAAGTGTTCAAGAGTTCTTCCTTTTTTTTATTTTATAACATTCTAATCTATGTATTGTGTGCATGTCAGTACACTAAGATATGTTACCAGATCTAGTAACCCAACCTAAGATATGTTACCAGATCTAGTAACCCAACCTAAGATATGTTACCAGATCTAGTAACCTAACCTAAGATATGTTACCAGATCTAGTAACCTAACCTAAGATATGTTACTAGATCTGGTAACCTAACCTAAGTTATGTTACCAGATTTATTAACCTAACCTGAGATATGTTACTAGATCTAGTAACCCAACCTAAGATATGTTACCAGATCTAGTAACCCAACCTAAGATATGTTACCAGATCTAGTAACCTAACCTAAGATATGTTACCAGATCTAGTAACCTAACCTAAGATATGTTACTAGATCTGGTAACCTAACCTAAGATATGTTACCAGATCTAGTAACCTAACCTAAGATATGTTACTAGATCTGGTAACCTAACCTAAGATATGTTACCAGATTTAGTAACCTAACCTGAGATTTGTTACTAGATCTAGTAACCCAACCTAAGATATGTTACCAGATCTAGTAACCTAACCTAAGATATGTTACCAGATCTAGTAACCTAACCTAAGATATGTTACTAGATCTGGTAACCTAACCTAAGATATGTTACCAGATCTAGTAACCTAACCTAAGATATGTTACTAGATCTGGTAACCTAACCTAAGATATGTTACCAGATTTAGTAACCTAACCTGAGATATGTTACTAGATCTAGTAACCTAACCTGAGATATGTTACCAGATTTAGTAACCTAGCCTGAGATATGTTACCAGATTTAGTAACCTAACATATCTATGGTGAAAGTGAAATATTGCTTTCATGGTTGTTGAGAAAAATGTGAATATTATTGGTGGATCAAATCATTAAGAGCTAGATAATATGTATGAACTCCAAATATCCAATCACATTCATCAAACCATTACCAGACAGAAATTCTCTAATCTGTCATTTACAGCATGTGAAAATTTATATTCATAAAATACATTTAATAGCAAGAAGTTATTCTTACCCAATGCATCTATGGAAGCCTACAAAAAATCCATTTTGCTTCAAATAGGTATATAATCAACTGCCTGTTGAAATCAAGGAATGTAACAGCAAATTATTTAATAAAAAACTGAAAGAATACCTTATGAGTAAATAGACTCAATGCTTGATTATGCTTTGAATTGATCTGGCAACATTTTTAATCTCTTTAAGAACTTTCATAAAAATGCATAATAATGATGAGTAGTGACAAATTCTGTGATATAATTAGGCTATTTTTAATACTACACCCTAACCAATGTATCTGACAAAATGTACTCTGTATATATTTTCAGCTATTCTTGTTTGTTTTTACATGACATGTTTTTTTAGAGTAAGGAAATAATTAAATTAGAAAAAAAAAGCTTTTAAAAAGTGCTGATTTTCATTATTGAAAAATTGGAATGATTTTCACCAACAAATGATTTCATCAAATACTATTTAAACATAGAAAGATCTATAAAAAATAAGCATATACAACCCCATTATTACTCAGACTCAAAATTTGTAATTTACTGTTAAGAAATATCAATTATTATTTGAATATCATAATTTCAACAGTAATTCAATACAGCAGTATGAATACCTAACACCATCTATATAATAAACAATAATCTGAAAGCCAATTTTGTTTTGGTAAGAAACTCAGAAATTCATGGTCATCACAGGAGACAATTATTTCATCTTGATTCTGCTACTTTTATAATTGGCCAAAAAAAATTTACTCACGCTGCTCTAGCTAAATTTAATAAATTACCACATAATATAAAAAATTGCAGACATATTTCAAAATTTAAAATGGAATTAAAAAAACACATGATTTCATTACTAAATGTATAAAATTGATACTTTGCCATCTACTGATTAGTCCCTGTGGCTATTTTTATGACTTGATCGATTTAGCATTTTTAGATTTTTTATATTTTTATTGTTGTTGTTGTCACCTTATGTTATTTTATTATTGTTGTTCATAATCAACTTCCTCATACCAGAATTTTTATTTCTGACTGGAAGCTAGTTTTTCAATAAACAATCAACTATATCTGACACTTAGTAGGAGAAAAGTTACTTCATAAGAATTCATTTGAATTGTGATATGCTTACTCTCTTCCTCCAAATCTTCAACAGGTAATTCTGAATCAAGAACTTCTTCAGTAACAGTTTCTGCTGGTGGTGGGGTATGTCTTTTGTTCAAAAAGGCTGTTGGTAAGAAGACAGTTAGCTCAGGAAGGTCACAATAAAACTTTTGTGTCTCAATGTCACACCATATATTCTCAACATTGCTAGTACCATCTTCCATACCTGTCCCTGAACCTGTCACTATCATACTCTAGAAGTGAAAACATGAGAAATATATTTCATTAAAATGTTTTTGATCCAATATTATTGATACCTCATCATTTTTAGGTAAAGATTGTGCTCTCAAAGTGGGCATATCTTCATCTAATATTTCTGAAAAGCTGTATGCATTAGCAAGAAGCTTTTCATAAGCTGCCTGGAGGTTTTCTAGTTTTTCTTTTCTTTCTTGGCTCAGCTCCCCTTTTGTTTGAAGTATTCTGACATTCTGTTTCTCAAAATTTTGCATTTCAATATGATCTTTCACTAAATGTTTACTCAAAGTGACAAAGTAGTCTTTCAAGAGGCTCCTGACATTCTGCTTCTTTTCAGGAGTTAAAAATGAGCTTTGAGGGATTTCAATTACATACTTTGCAGATAGTTCTCTCATTCTCCTTGGTATTAATCCTTGAATGAGAAAAGTTAACAACAACAAAATATTCTCAATGAATTAAAACTACCTGCATATTCATCACCACAGTGTTTACAAAAACTTAATATTATAGCAATGTTAAAGTGATCTTCCTTATCCATGTTAATCAATGTAGTTAAAACTGATCCCAATAAAGACAGTGCATTCTTGTTTGAGAATATTCCAGCTTGTAAAAGGTCAGCATAGAATCTTAGATCAACTCTCAGTTTGCTTGGATTAGAAATTTTGTCTCCTACTTTGACAGCCAGTGCTTTTTGCCAGTTCTCAAACAAGTGTTGGGAAAATTCTGCATATGTCTGATGTAAAACACTACATAATCTAACAGCAGCTGGGACATCATTCATCTTCAGCTTTGACTCAACTATACCTGCTGATATTTCCGATATATATTTAGATAAATTCAAGCCAGACATGTCTTTCAAATAAGCATCTACATGGATGGACGAAAAGTTCTTGATCTTCTTAACAAATGCAGTATTTTTCTTCAAACTCGAGTCCAGCTTGCTGAAATGAGCATCACTAGGACGATGGTTTACTGCATTCTGATTAGCAGCTCTCAATTCTCTTTTGGACTTAGTTTTTTCCTGAAGCTCTTCTATAAAAGAGGTTAGCAGGGATCTTTCAGTTTCTTCCGAGTCCCCAAGAATTTCCCTTTGGGCTGCATCCTGCTCTGTTAACTCGTTGATGGTCATTTCGTGGAGTTTTATTCTCACGTTTTATCAATGAGGGCAATGATCATCATTAGATTTTCTAAAAAAAATTGGCATATTTTCATTATTTCTCCAAATCACTTGAAGCAAACTTCAAACCTGAATCCTAATAGCTTCAAATGTCAAATGACCACAGAACACAAATTTGTCACATTTCATAGAACCATAGAACATGACAAATATACATATATGTACTATTTCTATATATTATGTCCCATCGCCTATTCGCGATAGAAACAAGGTTGGTAGAAATAGAAATGGTTATTTTGTTTATCATCAGTTCTATCAACCTTGGATAGAAAATAAGCGTACGACACCTATCGGAGTTCTTGAAAGCTGCCAAAGCGGCATGTTTACTTTGTTTTCATTGGTTCACATTTGTTTTTCGTTTGTGCTGATAGATCATATCATCAAAACAAACCGCTCAGAAGTGTTCAAGTTGCTGCCGTCAGGTGGTGTGACGTGTTATTTTCTATCGCGAATACGATATCTCAACAAAAATGGGACCGTACTTTTTGAATCTATAAGGACAGAAAGTGAAGGATGGAAACAGCCATATTGGTTTGACAAGTTTCGTATTATTTTTTCCCTACGTCGGCACCAACGCCTATTGGTCGATTTCGTTACATAGAGAGTATAGAGACAGAAGTTGGTCCCGCTTTGAAGACAGCTATGCTTCATATATTAGTTGATATATGAGTCTCAAGAAATCTTCTTCATTTTACTTAGGTAAATATGTACAAATTAAGTCGAATAGCCCATAGCCATTAGTCTATAAAGTGGGTGACCATAATTTTTTATATATAATTTTAATAATCATTAGATATTTAGATGAATCAAATATTTGGAACAAATCAAGTTACAACCAAACTTTTAATTCCATCTCTCAGAAACAAAGCTTATGGTGAGTTAGTGAGTAACTTAGTCATATTTCCTAAGACAATACTAGAATCACATCAATCATTATAAAAGTACAAAAAACAAAAAAACAAGCAGATAACTCAAAAACAACTCAATCTGCATCTTGGAATTCATCTTCCTCATTATGCCCATTTCTGTAATTAACTTGAACATCAGGAAGGTTATCACGAATCCTCCTTGTAATATCATCAATATCAGCATCTCCACCACCTCTCTCAGAAGCATTATCATATTCTTCATTCATATCATCTTCAGCATCTTCATAAAGATTATCATCTTCCTCAACACTATCTTCATCTACATCCAGAGGATCAGGATTCAACTCCTAGGAAAAACAGTGGGTGAAATTCCAAATTGTATGTAATTGAGCAGAATATTTCTGTCAAATGGAATATTACCTACCTGGCATATTCTGATAGCTTCATATATTTCTGAGATGGCTTCTGTAGTGTTAGGTACTAGTAGTATTTCTGAGATATCTGAAGCAGATTCCATATCACTGTTATCACTATCTTCTTCATTTTCTGGTGGTGGGTCACCTGTTGAAATTTTCGAGTTCACAGTTTCAATCAACAGAGAATATTCAGCAAAGTACCTACCTGGCATTGAAATTTGTCCATCCACCATCACATAAACGCATTCTCCAGTGAAGACAGCCAAATCTTTGGAAATGGCATGCAGAGATATGTTGGGATAGTTGATGGTGAGACCATAGTTGTCCCGTTCCCTTTGATGCCAGCACAAAGTACTGAAAAAGTTTGCTGTATTCGTTTGGAAAAAAGCGGCTTTTGAGATATATTTACCTTTCACTCACATAAAGGGTGCCTTTACCAAGATCTTTTTTATCAAGGATTAGTCGGACGTCCTCTTTTAGGCATCGAATCGTAGATTCTGGGTATTTGAATGAATTTATAATCACCATTGTGAAATTTTTTCTCCACTTCAATAGCAATTTTATTAGATTTGAAATCGAGAAAAAGTAAGGTTTTCCGCAAACCCGATCAACAAACACCAAACCTTCAAAAATTTAAGTAAAATATAAAATAACTGTCAAAATTGTCAACGTAACTGTCACCAAAATGAAGTTACCGAACTTCAGAGAACAACAAAATCGCAGAACTACTAGTAGGAGAGCCGGCTGCAAAACGAGAGCCTAAAGTTTTCGAACCATTCCCATCTTAACGAAACTCTCGGGGTCTTGAGAGGAAGGAAACTGGAAAAACATCCTTGAAAGCCTAGATCACTTAGACAAATGATCACAGTGGACTGACGCCATGTTATTCCTCCACAATTTCATTGCAAAAATAGAATAAAAAAAAACACGAATCTCAACATATCACGTGGTGGGAATGGCTCGAAAGATCTTGGCACTTCTTGAACGACAGCTTGGAGGTTCCTGCGTATTGAGCAGAAACGTTTTCGGGCGAGCAACTGACCCTAAATTTTCGGGTTGCTGCGATATGACTATACTAGCAGTCTGCATATAGAGTAATAAGTCGGTGACCATGTATAAGTGAATCAATTTTTCATATTATAAAGTGTACAATGGCGCATAATCAAGGCGATTATCTCAAATGAAACATCAAAAATTATAAATTTCAATTAAAATAAATTTTATTCTCTATACAACTTTGAAAAATATATAATATTATTTACAAACAATATATAAGGTACACATTTTGCTAATCCACAATAGGATTTCGTACCTTCACTTGAACATTGCAGAACATGTCCCGTTAGCCTCGTCGTATTCATTTTTTTTATGTTACAACTTACGCATTACGTATAATTACAAACTTATCGACGAAATAATACAAACATTCATTTAACGATAAGTCACAGTCTTTTCCGTTTAATCTTTATAATTTAATGAGTTTCTTCCAATTTATAATCATCGGCCTTCTGAAATACGTATCTAGGTTGGTATATTCGGATAGTTTTTATGCCATATATAATATGTAATACAATGTTAGTCATCTTTTGTGTACAAATAGTGATACAAATTGGTGGTTTATCATTTTGTGGTTCTCATAAATAATATGAAACACACAGGGTGGCTCAAATAATTGGGTAAAATCTGTGTTGTCGTCTTTGGCTGATGACCGCCATCAACTTGATTCTTTCAAATTTGGTTCAGCATTTTCTCATTTGGTTTTCTGCAATTTCTTGACGTATCAACAGCTGTATTATCAACAGACGATAATATAGATATTCCAGTAAATCAACAAACGATAATATAAGATATTCCAGTAAAAATAGTATTAAAAAATTTGCGACTGATGTGATTACATTGAGAAGGTCAAAAACTGATGATATTTCAAAACCTGATCTGAAGTGTGTTTCGATATTAAATCAAGATTAATATAGTGTATTTTTAAAAACTATATCTTATCATCTAAAAAAACAGTACCTACACTTTAATTACACTATTTTTGCACGAAACGGAGACTGTGAATAAAAAAGGCCGATGAAAACGAGACACTCGTATCTATATCATATTATTCTAGAACTTTTTTTAGAAAAAAAAATTCGAAATAATTCGATTGATCGAAAATCAATTGATCGAGTTGAATTTTTATCAAAAAATTGTGATTCTAAATTGAGAAAAATGACATAACCTACTTGATTGATTGTCATTTTCATCTCAAGAAACATATCTGTTCATAATAGGGATACATGAATACTTATTGAAATTATAATAATGATAATGATGAAAGGTTAACTGATCCGGCTCGAAGGACCACAATATTATCGCTAATTGAGATTTCAAACTTTCAGATTACCTTATCTTCATTTCGTGTCCATTCTGTCGATGTCAATAATACAAAGTAACTTTTTTATTTTCTCACATTGTATGAGGAAAAGTGGCGATAGATTTCAAAGAATCGACTCTGCTTTCTTGTTCGAACCAATGGAATATTATTGGACGCATGAAACGAATCAATTACTCGATCAAAATGTAGTTCGATCAATTATTGATGTTGTGATCATATGATTTTTCGATCAGATTTCCGGTAACCGGTAGGTACTGACCGTTCGCTACTCAAAAAAAAAACAATAATAAGAAAAAGGAGAAATATTCGCCCTATGTCTATGAGGTAAAGTAGGTGATTTCTTGGTGAATTTCTATGCATAGAAATTTTCTTTTGATTCATAAATAATTGGAATGATCGTAATGTGTGTATGCATGTGTTCTGGTGAAATAATGGTAGAGTATGATATCGACCGGCGATTATAAATTGGCTAAGGATTATGCGCATAAATTAAGTGCCGCCGACGAAGCTTCTCGGTTTGATCATCATCACCGATTTTTTCAGGGTGTAGTCCCATCCCTTCCATCGGAACCATACGATGCCTGAAACAAGGAAATCAGTTGTTAATTCTATATTCTATCATGTTCGGAGCGAATCATCAAATAGCGAAAATAAATGCTAAATGTCAAATGTTTTTATAATTATTGAAATTTATAGGTTCTGGAACTGTATCGCATTGTTTGTTTTGAAGAAATAGTTATTTGTTTCACTAGGCAGCAAAGAAGTAGAGTGACTGTTGCGGCTGTTAGTTCATAGCCGAGCGTAGCGAGGCTGGGAATTCAGCCAAGGTAGTCAATCTACATTTGCTGCCGTGTGAAACTTTAATTTTTTCTCCAAATGTTATAAAACCAATTTTGTGCAATTTTTTTATTGCAAACTCTCATCATTTTGGTTTCACCCAATGTCAGTGTCAATTTTGATTACCAATTTCATTCGAATTTCTAGGAACGTTGCATAGCAAAAAACTTTTCCCGCCTAGGCAGAGAAAGTAAACCGCCCCTGCCTGTTGAGTGTCATAGATAATCCACTCTTTATGCCGCTTGAAGAAAAATATTTTTCTGTTTCCACTAATAATACTAATAATTTCTATTGGTTTCGATGAGTTTTTTTCCGAATTTTCTTGATGACTGTTTTCTGTGAAGAACATTATTGTCAACAGAACAAACTGGAGTAAAATTGCATTATCCGTTTCAAATTTGTTTCTTCACCAAGTTTTCGTGATCATTCTTTTCAGCCTGTGGAGGATGTTTTGAAGCCATCTTCATTTCCCTATATGTCCCTGTGTTAATTTTCATTATGACTTGGAAGAAAAATCGATCTGTCCCTGTCACGGTGTTTGACGCCAAACTCCTTCGAAACGGCTCGACCGATTCGTATGTAAATTTTTGTGCATATTCGGTAGGTATGAGAATCGGTCGTAAGCTATTTTTCAAATAGGAAGTTCAAGATGGCGGATCCAATATGGCGAACGACTTTTGTAATCCGATTTTATGAAAAATTGGTATCTAGGGCTCTTAGGGGTAGGAGATTATGATTCTCTAGTCAAAATTTGGATATTCAGGATGGCAGATCCAATATGGCGAACGAGCTTTGTAATTATGATTAGATATTATATTCAAAATTTGTATCTGGGGTTTTTTTGGTCAGAGATTATGATTCTTTAGTCAAAATTTGTAAATTTAAGATGGCAGATCCAATATGACAGGCGAGTTTTGTAATTATGATCCGATTCCATTCCAAAATTGTATCTGGGGGTTTTTGGGGTCGGAGAATATGATTGTTTATCATACAAATTATGGTTTTCTTCTATATACTTTAAAGTCCTGTTTATGTAGAAATGAAGCTGATTTTTCAGTTGATGATCCGAAATGGGTTGAAGTTCTATAATTTTGATTATTATTTATGATGGTAGGATAAACTTCTTGAATGAATCGAAGATGTGATCCGTTATTTCAGTCACAATAATTCTAGATAATCATTTTTTTTACCTCACTTACAGTTGCTGTAGCTAGGAGGGGGGTGTATTTAAAGACGCATGTTTATATGAACCAAAAAGTCTCATTTTGACCCCAACAATATGTCCTTGAAATATTCACATCGAATTTTCAATCACCCTGTATAATGTTCCTATGTTGAATGGAACAAAATTGGAGCATTTGTTCAATGGTGAGTGTAGCTCACCTTGTCTTGCTGTCAGATCCTGTGGATCATTCAAATAAAGCCCATTAAGTCCTCGTCCGCAGGACTTCCACCACCATCCACCCTTAAGCATCGACGCGCAATTCAGGCTAGACCTGTCGTTATCTCTGAAAACAAAAAAAAAATATTTCAACAAAAAATTTTTGAGATGAAAAAATTTATTCACCTGTTGTATGTCGAAAATGGACTGTTGTTGCTTCCGTACCATGGATCGTTTAGTGAATCCCCGGCATTTCCTTCATACCCATCGATTTCCAACTTGTAGTAGTCTGCCTCTGAGTATATTTTGAAGTGAGAGTATTGAGCGTACCTGCAAAAAGACAAAGAGAGATTTCATTTAAATCTTTATATTTGGGTGTTTACTATCTGTAGTTCAGGTAATTCCAATTCCAAGTTAGACGATTTGATAAAGAGTACATTTTTCATGTGAAATTGAACGAGCTTTCATATTTTCCGCTTATTTTGATCATCAATGGATTGACATAGAAGATATGATGTGAATTATCGAAGTAATAGAGTGCCACTATCGCCCTCTATGAACAATCACTAAATAAGTTGCGAATTCATATTCCTCATGTCAGAAAACCTAGAAATACAAGATTTCATGTTCATGCTGTTGAAACTAACGAAGTTATTGTGCAATTTTGAAATACAATCTCCCCCTAGAACACTCTGTATCTCCTAAACCAGCAACATTCTCGAGAATAATAATAATAATATTTATTTATTTTATTCTTTGCTATGAACATTACATTGTATCTCATATAAATATAAATATATTCATTAACATTTACAATGAAATAACATGAATATTCAGACAGATTCATATCTGATTATAGTTATTGAAATAAACACTAACAGTTTCGAAAAAAAAAAATAATGAAACAAAGATCATGAAAAGTACATTATGACATGATGAAATAAATTAGTGAATGAGAAATCATTCACTCACATTTGATTTTCTCTTTGCAAGAGAATATGTTTCTTGACTTTAATTTTGAATTGGGTGATATTTGTGCAACTCTTGATATCATTAGGTAATTTATTGAATTTTGAGATAGATCCGTGAGTGAACTTTTTTTGACCAAGTGTAGAATTAGCAGCATCAAGATGAAACAAGTCATATTGTCTAGTATATGATGTTCATGGATTTGATAATTCCTTACCAATATGACGTTAGATTTGAGGTGTTTATTGTTGATAATATGAAAAGAAATTTTGAGAGTATTTATCAGATAGTGCTCTTCCAACCCTAACAACACCAGTACATCCTAGGGACTTCCCTTGGACTTCCCCTGATTTTATACTAGGACATCCCAGGGATGTCCTTCGTCGGGACAACGTACATACTAGGGATGTCCCAGGGACGTTCCTGGGATGTACCAAGTACGATGAAAGTACCTTGCTCCATTGGCTATCATGCCTCCTGAAGATTTATGTACTAAACAGATTTATAAACAGGACATAACTACAGAAACCTGAATAAATACAACTTTATTAGGAATTGGGTATAATTATTATCATTCTTGGGTGTTTAAAAATGAGGGACATTATGCATGTACGATTTATGTCTGTGAAAAATGGTAATTTCTCAAGAAGTTTATTCTTGATTTCAAATACAAAAATTTTCCGGAAGAGAAACAAACATTTTCAAAAAAATTCAACTTAATAGTTTGATGAAATTCAATGACTCTGATGTGAATGGATATCAGATACTCCAGGGACACGAATAGGATAACCTAGGGATGTACCGGGCGGGATGTCCACTGGACAACCACTGCAGGACATCCTCTGGATGTCCCAATCATATCCTTGTACCGCGGGACAAAAAAGGGACGTACCTAAGACATCCCTGTGTTGTTAGGGAAAGAAAAAGTATTGGTTTCTTCATAAAGTTGATTCGATGGGGTGTCATAGGGAAGACGATAAAGTACTTTTAATGATTTTTCTATATAGTACAGATATTTTGTTAAAATTATTCTTGGAACATGAACCCCAAATATTTATGAGATAGTTCATTTTACTAAGGATGTGAGAGTATAGAACGGTATTTTTGCTACTTTTGGGATAAGTTTTGGACATCTTCTTAGGGCACCAACTATGGGAGACATTTTTTCTTTGAGCATGCCAATATGCTTGTCCCAAGTTAACTTTTCATCAATATCCAAATACCAAGGTATTTGGTATAGGAAGTTCGTTCAATCTCTCATTTTTTATTCTGATATTCAAATCAATATTTTGTTTATTTCCTTGATGAAAAATTATATATTGGGTCTTATTAGAATTGAGGGAAAGAAGATTATTGGAGTATAGCCATTCTTCCATTTTTTTCAAATCCTCATTCATGTTGTTTTCTCATATTGGGCTAAATCTCATTATTTTTGTGTTTACTCTCTGTAGTTCAGAGATTTCCCATTCTTAATGAATCACACTGTATAGAAATTCCTTCTTTTGTAGAACATCGTCACTTATTTGGACTTCTCACAGTAGGTACAAGATTTTACGAGAACTTCCAAATGAATTACAAGAGGTTATTCATCTATCGTCCTTGCAGAAGTATAATTGTAAATGAAACCGTATAACCACCAAGTATAGCAATGATGATGAGCAACATAGTAATGTGAAAGTGTAAAGATGCACCAAGAAATTATGCATCAAGATCGTGTTAAGCGCATCAAAACGGATGGGATTAGCAAATAGATAAATTATAGCAGACAAGAACGTGCATTATTGCCACACTTCCACACTTTTTGCGGTGTTCAGTTGAAACGTGACTAAGCATTATCATAGCGGCGGTATAATCATTGTAATTGTCGATTATTTAAAGACCGATTTCTATTGCCACAGCGATCAACCATTGAAATTGGCAAAAAAACTAATGAAAGAGGAAACTGTTTCCAAAAATAATATCCGAAGAGGAAAAACCAATAATTGCGAAAATACTCGGAGACTGAAAGACATGCGATAATTTTTTTCATGCATTGTTTCTAAATTTATATAATATGATAATAATAACAAATGTCCTTAAACCAATTATCCTCGGCTTATAGCTGCGCTACTCAACCGGGTACTACTACTCTACTACTATTGACGTCATCATATATACTAAGATAATTCACCCTGTATATGAGATCACTATTTTGAAAAACAGTTTAAAAAATAAAGAATCGGCTTGTTCCTGCAATTTTCAATCAAGTGCCTCATACATAATTTAGCTAATAATAAATTTACAAAGAGGGAGAAATAAGCATACAAATATAAACTGGTCAACATTGATAACGTCGCGTGGTCCAAAATTCCTCACCAATTTGAAATCGGTTTTCACCGATGATTAGCCTAATCTCTTGACAGTTCGTTGTGGCAATATGACACTTCTGTAATTTCAGATAACATTGCTACAGGGTGATAATTGAATAGGTGTTAGATTGCACCATGGTCGTCATCTTACCGTTTGAACAGACATTTTTCTAATTTTTTTTTCTCATCTGCATCCTCTTAATTGATGCTTTTTTTCGAAACATTTTCGGAATTATCAAATTCAGAGCTTTGATAATCGTGTTATGAATATTCATTCAAAATGATGCATTTTTTCGACGATTAATTGAATGAAATTGGAAGTTGGAATTCTTTTTCGAAAAATCAACCTTGTATGTATAGTCGTCGGATATGTGATGTGAATCTATAGCAATTCTGCAATCTCTTTCATGTTTCCTCGTATAAGCTTCATAGAAAGTTACTGCATTTATACAGTTCATAGTGCCACATTATAAAATGAATACGAATAAGCTATACATTACTCGGATTCTTTGAATGAGTGCAGTTGTAGAAAAAGTATAGTGTGCAACATGTGGGGAAAAGCACTTTTCCCACTTGTTGCACAATATACTATTCTCGCACACTCGTAGGAAGAGTAATAAAACACAACACCTGCTAAAATGATTTCTCAATTGTTACCTTTTAGTCCCTTCGAAATCTTCGAGTTCCACTCGGAGTGAGTACTCTTCGTTGTTGGTGAGCATGTATATGTTTTCGTTGCCGAGCCAAAATTCTTTGGCCGGATCTCCGAAGCCGTTCTTGTAGTCGTTCCAGTCCCTGTTGAAATTTTCACGGGGATACCCGAAATCGTCCCGTCTTTGGATGACCTGAAGAAAATTAAATCGAAGTCGAAAAAATACTATACATTGTTTCATTAAGATCAAAAGCGAAATTTCTCTAGATTCTTTGGGATTTTCTCTCATTTCTACGAATAAAAATATGAATATGATTTCAATATACAGGGTGTCCCAAGTTAACGTATATACAGGCAATGTCTCGCTTATTTGACAAGATAGCTGAAAAATTCAAAAACTGCAATGAATGGCATTGAAGTAAAAACGAAAAAAATCGGAGAACGTGTTCTTTAGGAACCTTTCTGAACATCAGCTTTATAAATCAACTCTATCCATAAGAAGAATTTCTTCAACAACAAAGTATTTTGATTGATCGATTCGATTAAAGAAAATGAAAGAAAATTCAACGTAACTGGCTAAATAATCATCTCTTGATGTGAAAAAATAATTGTGACGTAGATATATCAATTGTATACGAATAAAAACACATTACATCATATATCATATGAATAAATGACTAGTAAGTACTTATAGAGTAGAACGGGTATAATTATGATTCCGATTAATCATTAATCTAATGACTAATGACAATATTATAACTAACGGTTATTCGTTATTGTATGAGAATATTGTTTGGAAAGTACTTTCTCTGAAATTAATGATTGAATATAGTTTAGAATTTTTTGATATGTCTGTTTGTTCGTTTACAATCATGCGCAAGAATATGACAATTAAAATTTTGATAAATTTTGTAATTTCTCGAATAATTTCTACTACTCAGTACTCCTGCATATGAAATCAATTTTATTATCACACAAATTATCAAAACTAATGAAAATACAATATATATGATAGGAATTTTTGATTCATTCTTGGGTTTCTCCTGTACTTTTTGCTGATTACTTGGCGACTGGCTATATTTCTAAATCTCAAGTGGTATTCTTTGTAATTTGTAATTTCACAAGTATTATGCCGAAAATATATGGCGTAGGTTACGACAGCATGTTGACTAATAATTTCGCGAATGACAAACTTTCGAGCTGTAGGCGAGAAGTTTTGGAACGAACGTTATGATCGAAATTGAAGTCCAAACTGGATTAGTTCAATCGACGGATATTTCCAGGAAAAAAGTATCACGAGTTGTATTTCTATGATTATTTCTTGATTGAGACAATAAACGAGCGCCTCGCGAGAGTTGCGCCACACTGCATCCATCATTCTGGCTTCCGACATAATTGACAGGTTGAATGACGAAAATTGTATTGCTGAAAAACGCGGTTGGTTGGTCACGTGTGGGTCAATTCGGCTTCTGTATACAGTGTGTCCCACTTACCATGCTCACCATGGGCATCTTTTTAACGGTGAGAGATACGAGGTCGGTTAAATGACACCAAATGTGGAGTTTGTCAAGGCCAACTATAATGTGAAAAAATATTTTGATACAATCTATTCGTTTTTGTTTTATACGCAAAAAACAGATTATGATCATTTTCATGTCTCCTCCGTAACTTCTTTATTTATGAAAATATTCAAATAGGAATTTCACATTCTCATGGCAGTTTTTCAAAGTGATTTCGAAAAAAATATGAAATTTATACCAACTCTTCTAGAATTTGAGATATCAGCACCAACTTTAGTTTTTCAAATGTAGGTCATAGCTCACTATGACTTAGTTACAAATCTTTTTCTCTTACAGATGATATGTCGCAGTAATAGTTTTGTGTTGATAACAACGGAGTTATCGTCATTTATACAAAAACAAAAAAATATTTGGAAGCCGCCATCTTGAATTTATAAATTTTAACAAAAAAATCATCATCTCCGACCTCAAAAACCCCCACTAATCAATTTTGGATGGCATCGGACCAAATCTTGTCCGCCATCTTGGAGCAGCCATTTTTTTTAATTTCAACAAAAATTCCATAACTCCGATTAACTTGAAATTTGGCAGGTGTTCATAGTTTCGGTGACAATACATTATGGAATTTTTGTTGAAATTTAAAAAAATGGCTGCTCCAAGATGGCGGACAAGATTTGGTCTGATTCCATTCAAAATTGATAATTGGGGGTTCTTGAGGTCGGAGATCATGATTTTTTGTCAAAATTCATAAATCCAAGATGGCGGCTTCCAAATAAGTTTTTGTTTTCGTATAAATGACGATAACTCCGTTGTTATCAACACAAAACTATGACTGCGACATATCATCTGTAAGAGAAAAAAAGTTATTTGTAACTAAGTCATAGTGAGCTATGACCTACATTTGAAAAACTAAAGTTGATGGTGATATCTCAAATTCTAGAAGAGTTGGTATAAATTTCATATTTTTTCGAAATCACTTTGAAAAACTGCCATGAGAATGTGAAATTCCTATTTGAATATTTTCATAAATAAAGAAGTTACGGAGGAGACATGAAAATGATCAAAATCTGTTTTTTGCGTATAAAACAAAAACGAATAGATTTTATCAAAATATTTTCCCACATTATAGTTGTCCTTGACAAACTCAACATTTGGTGTCATTTAACCGACCTCGTATCTCTCACCGTTAAAAAGATACCCATGGTGAGCATGGTAAGTGGGACACACTGTATATATATCCATTTTTTTATGTTCATTATTATATCCGAGAATATTCCTTTTCAACACGAAATAGAGTATCAAAAATGTTCGGCTGAATTTGGATGGACATCGACCGCGCTATTTTCAAATCTCGACCACCTGTCTATTACCTATTACGTAACCATACATATAGGAACTGATCGAGAAAATGTTCCGGCAAAGTATCCGCCGACGTCAAAATTATTTATCAAGAAATTTACATGCCGACCGTAAAGTGTATCACGTGACGACCCGTTTTTACCAAATAGGATTCGAATCGGAGTGCCGAGAATGTCAGTAAGTACGACTTCCGCAAAAAATCAAGATATAGAAAGATATGTGAAGTCTCTGCAACATTGTATCAACAATCATGAAATAAGTGAAAATAGTTGATGGACTATATATACTTGAAAGCGAGGTTTTTTGCATCAAAGTGTATTTTTTCACGAAAAATCAGGATCGAGCGCCCCACAAATGTGTACAAAATGTCATAAAAAAATAATATAATTCCTTCATTTGGTATAAGTGCCCTAATTTTTTATGGAAAAATTATACTCTGCTTAAAAAATTATAATAGCGGCTGAGCGCCATGATGAACTTACTTTTTTTAATGGAACACCTCGTATATTATTCCATTTTCGAAATCTTTTTTCAATACAGTTCATCACTCCTGAATTGAATAGTTCTCGAAATATTAACGTTTGAAAAGTGTCATTTCAGTAATTTTGATTTTAAGTTAAAATTAAGTATACTTACAGTCCAACCACCATCAGCTACTTCTTGTTCGCAGAATACTTTCAAAAACCAGTAGGTGGTACCTCTGATTTGAAGATAGTAGACACCAGAATGTCTCATTCCGGCACTAAGGAAATCCACGCAAGAATAACCCTGCAAAAAATACTTTCGGTCAAACAATTGAATATAACAAACTAGCTGACCCCTCAAACATATTTTTCCAGTTGAATATTCATCAACACACTATCACTATTCAATTTTTTATTTTTTTTAATTTGGCTATATACAGGGTGTCTGTAAAAGATTGGGACATGGCTCGGCTGTAGACTCCTGGGATAAAAGCAAGTTGATGTAAGCTAACTTACCTATATCCAAAATCGTCTCGTTGCGTTGGTACAAGGTGTTGAAGTTTTTTCATCATTTTTGGCATGGCATGTTCTGTGACTGTGAGTCACGTTTTGAGATGTTTTTGATCATCATCAGTGACCTGCAAGTGTTTCAAACAACAATGTTGCCGTACAAATTTGGTGATAAGTTTTCAGAGGTCAGACTGGAAACTTTCAGTTTTTTTCCAGAAAGACATTCCCTTCAGAAATATTTTTTGTATCGTATTAATTTTTGATAAGTCTCGAGGTTCATTTGCAAATAAATAATTTCTGATATGATGCATCCTGCGTATTTTTGAAAATTAATCTAATTAGTCGGACTGTTTATTGATATGTTGCTGGTCCTCGCGGGCTTTACAAGAACTCTCGCGTTACAAATTTAGCGATGACTATTCAGGACCTAAGGTGAGCACTTTAACGCCTTGTACCTACTCAACGAATCGATTTTGGATATAGGTAAGTTGGCTTAAATCAACTCATTTTCGTCCCAGGAGTCTACAGTCAAGCCATGTCCCAACCAGATTATTTCTCTAAAAAATGCTTAAGATGCCTCAGATCAGAAATTATTTATTTGCAAATGAACCTCGAGACTTATCAAAAATTAACACGATACAAAAAATATTTCTGGAGAGAATATCTTTCTGAAAAAAAAAAAACTGGAAGTTTCCAGTCCGACCTCTGGAAAGTTATCACCAAATTTGTACGGCAACATGGTTGTTTAAAACACTTGCAGGTCACTGATGATGATCAAATACACCTCAAAACGTGACTTACAGTCACAGAACATGCCATGCCAAAAAATTATGAAAATCGATCTCAGCCTACTCTTTTTATGAGCAAAATTGCGCCTTGTACCAACTCAACGAGATACCAATACCATGATTTTGCTCAAGTTCTTGCTAATTGAATGCACCCAAAACACTTGAATCAGGTCATAAAATGTTAATGAGGTAGACTCTTGGGTAGATCGACATTGTTTCTAAACTAGGAATAGTACATGGGCTTAAACAAAATGTACCAACATAGCTCAAGAGTCGTTACGATTTGTTTGGGCAGCAGTGTACATATTTTGACCTGACTGTCCTGGCCTGAAGGATAAATGGGTATCTTATTTTCCTAGACTATTAATTAATGCAAGAACCGACGAGACTTCGAGACTTCTATTTTACTTATCTCGTTTAAGTATAAACGCTAGTTTGTTTTGAATATTCATGCGACATGCAACGTTTTCGATCAGATCACAGCCGAAAAAAATAATTTGTGGGTCGTTGAACACCGATATCAATGAACGAGTAGCACGACCGGCTGAGATATAGCCTAAAAAATAGCCGCAAGTAGATACGGATAAATAACTTTTCCTTCTATGACCCAATCCGCTATGTGTTGCGTAACTTTCGTTTTCTGCCATCTAGCTAGCAATGAATATCTCGTTATTTCTATTTGATATTGTTCGTTTCTTTTTCAATATAGGTAGATACATGACTGAAATATAATAATTATCCGTTTCTTTTTTGGGAATGTGTAATAAAGCTCTTGGTAAGGATATCATTAAACTTCAGAATATTTCTTTCAGAAAAAAAAAGAGATTACTGTTTTATCGTGTTTTTTTTTCAATTAGATATACCTAAAAAGGAACGAGTCTAATATGATCAAGATCACGATTATGTGATGTAACGATCCGTGGTATAGGATAGGTAGTAGGTATAGCTTGTTTTGAAAAATTATCTTGCGCCCCTATACGAGGTGGAAAAAACCTCAGATATGAAAGTTGAACAAATTCAACTCGCAAAATTGAAAATGAAGAGTTCAAATCAGTTTTTCTAAATTGCTAAATTGCGTTGGAACGATTGTACAGATAAAATCCTATACAACTTTCATGTTTGATGTCTTTTTCCACCTTATAAAATAAACCTATATACGTTTGAAACCGTAGACTGCAGAGATTTTCTCTGTTCAATGAGTGATTCGGAGTTTTCTATCAACAATGATGATTTCCTGTAGGATTTTATTGAGAAAATAAATATTTTTTTCTTCCCTATAATACTGTATAATATTCGTTCGTTCAAGCTTTCATATCAGCGAACCACTTAAACCTAGGTATGTATAGTTAGATTTTCGCAACACATTCGAATGCAAAAATTGACATTGTAATTATTATCCAATTCTAATTACATCAATATACTATAATATCAACTCGTTATTGTCAATCTTAATTACTAGGTATTACATTCTGACCTGAATAATTTCGAATATAATATTATAAATTGTTCGGGTTTGCATTAAAAAAAATCACTCGCCGAGAGCAATCATTTTCAAACCACCATTCTTTTTTTATCATCTTAATCCATTTTTCTGTGAGAAAATCATAGTGGAGAGTTGGTTGGTTCAAAAATTTCATTTTCGAGGGATTTTAGATAGTAGATAGTATAGTGCTCATCTTCCAAGGTATGTTGTTACTCTCCCAAGGTATCTATGGAAGTCGATGTGTATACCGCCATTCTTATTCTATCATCTCAAACTATTTTTCTGTGGGAAAATTGGAGGGTTTAGAAATTTCATTTTCTGAGTACATTTTGAATAGTTTATTCCATGTTGCCCAATGTTCATCTTCCAAGGTATGTTGCTCCTCTCCCAAGGTATGTCAGTCAGTTTTCTATCATCTCAACCTAGTTTTCTGCGGGTAAATCAGAGTGAAGAATTGGTTGATTCAAATATTGTTTTTCATGTGGATTTTTCTTCTATATTGCTCATTTTTTGAGTACATTTCGAATAGTTTATTCCATGTTTCCCAATGTTCATCTTCCAAGGTATGTCAGTCAATGTGCATACCGCCATTCTTTTTCTATCATCTCAACCTAGTTTTCTGCGGGTAAATCAGAGTGAAGAATTGGTTTATTCAAAAATTGTTTTTCATGTGGATTTTTCTTCTATATTGCTCATCTGTCATGGTTTGTTGCTCCTCCTATGTGAGGCAATGTTTTTGTAGGAAAATCAGAGTGAAGAATTGGTTGGTTTAAAAATTTTCGCCAGCGTAAAAAATAGTGCATACACTTCAAGACAGAATGCTATTTTTGGAAAAATCAAAGTGAAGAATCGGAAAGTTTGAAAATTGTATTTCTTGAGGAATTTTCAATAGTTTATTTCATATTGCTCCTCTCCCAAGGTATGTAAGTCAATGTGTATACCACCCTTCTTTTTCTATCATCTCAACTAATTTTTCTGTGACAAAATCAAGGTGAAGAATTGATAGGGGTGGGCCTCTTCAATGGCCATCCCTGTACTCAAGTGAAAAAGGTACCGATTCGAAATGGAGCTTACCCAGCGAGCACAAAAACATCTCAGATATGTTAAAAGTACGAGATTCACACATGAATCGAGATGTCCTTGATATGTCACAAAACTACCTTCTCCCTAGTTCTTTTTAAAACCTTTTCATGGACACAACAAAACATTTTCAACGCGTCTTGCGCACATTAAATCGCTGTAAAAAAACCATTTTCGATGTACTTTTCTGAAACCTTTTGTCAAAATGAACTTTTGCATTAGGATTCCATTTCCCTTGAATGAAAAAATGCATTAAAATAGATTGAACATAAAAATATTTTCTTGATATGAAATTACCTTCTTAATCGGTTTCTGAGTAGTGCTTACTACACACAGACATTTAATTGGAAATAGGTTTCCCAATTTTTGAAATGTTCTCCACAATGCAACTGTGGAGAAGCTGTGTATTGATAAATTCGTACTTTTATATATTGATTACACTGAGGCACCGAACAACACATCTTGCATCTGATGGTCATTATTACAAACTAAATAAGTCTTCTAACACAATAAACTTCACCAAATTCCTTTCTGTTCGTTAGCAGCGTGATGTAAGCGTGACACGCTGCAAACGCGAATGCCAATTGCGAACAAGAAGTACAAAATCGAAAACAAATCTGAATTCATCGTATTGTGACGTAAGCATGAGACGTTGTGGTGGGGCAAACAAAGAAAGGGCACAAAAGAACAAAAACAATACTTTCAATATCCTTTTAAGACCTCTTTGGGAAGTGCATATTACGCCTCAAAAAAACATCCTCATGCCTACATTTCTAAAACATCTCAAAACATCCTAGGGATACCTCTCAGTAGGCAAACAAAGAAATGCCACAGAAGAACGAAAACAATACTTCAATATCCTTCAAAGACCTCTTTGGTCAGTGCATATTACGTCTCAAAATAACATCTTCATGCCAACATTTTCAAAACATCCCAAATCATCCCAGGGATGTTTGTGCTCGCTGGGTATGATTATGTGTCCCTCTCAATCATCGGTCACATACACACTTTCTAATATGAAATTATGGTATCGGTAGCAGAGATTATTGTTCGTATTCGAGGAATGCCCTGCTCGTAAATTAATCAAATATGTCTGCCATGACGACCCGCCAATGTGGGCTCGTAAATCTTGCCAATTAAATTGTACAGGACGTTTAGCTTTTGTGCGATGCCGCATATCTTTTTCAGCTTTAGTTGAATTATTGCGGAGAAACTGAAAATTGGACATGATCATCGATTGTTGAGACAATTTCATTCCATCATATTTTGAAAACGTAATATTATTTTCAATTCGTATCCAGCATCAAAAACAGACACATTTTTCTCAGAATATTACTTCTGGTATGTTCCTTCGATGATATTCTGGTAATTGCCAGCTTAATTTGGGGAAAGTTTATATTAAATTGGTCTTTGCCGCAATGATTGAGATGGCGATTTTTGTACCATTGCCTCATTATGCAATAGTTATTTATTATACAAGGGAAAAATCTAATATTTTTCCCGTGTATATTACACTATTTTTTTCTGTGACAGAAGAAAGGACGAATCAATATTGGGAAGATATTACATTATTTTGAAATCTGGAAATTATCGACGTGAAATTTTAAGTTTTAACAGTAGGGACACCTGCGTTGTAGGCATCTTTATCATTCTTTTGAAGTAATCAAATATCTGATGTCACTTCTGTCAGTCCAAACCTGTGATTTGATTTCAAAAAATTGCAAATTTAGTGGTTGTTTAGTAATATACGTAACCACGAAGCCGAATGGAAGATAAAAGGACTTGCAGTTCTTTCTCGGAGACGGTATTATTGAATCATTTTTCTGAACTATAGCACAACAACAGTGTATATACAGTGTGTCCACCTTAAGGACTTACCACCCCTGTAACATTGTTATTATCTGACCGATTTCGAAAAACTTTTTTTTGTTGGATAGGTATTTGAAATGTCCATCCAACAAGAGAGTGATTTTACTCATGAACTGTAATCGTGGCCAACTGCGACCAACTTTATTGACTCATATTTGAGAAAGTACTATTAGGGATTTTTTTTCACAAAAAACAATGATGGATTCTGAATCAAGATCACTTGAAAAACACCTTTACTGATTTTGATCATCATAAAACACAGGGTGTTCGAAAAAACGAATCATGTTTTTTTTGTTAATAGGTGATCAGAAAATGTAGTATTGTGGTATTTTTGAGAAGAATTGATGACACATTATTATTGAGGATCACTTTGAACATATCTGGACCGATTTTCATCATTCAAAAATACGATGTGTATGAGAAAACAATAAAAAAGAAAAAGTAGGCAATATTTTTTCATCAGCTCAAAAAAAATATTAATTTGATTTTTCGAACACCCTGTGTTTAATGATGATGAAAATCGGTACAGGTATGTTCCAAGTGATCCCGGTTCATCTTTTTATTTTGAGTGAAGAATTATCAGGATGAAAAATATTGCTTACCTATCCTTTTTAATTTTTTTCTCAGACACATTGTATATTTAAATGACGAAAATTGGTACAGGTATATTTGAAATAATCCTCAATGATAATATGTGATTATTATTTTCTAGAACAACCACAGAACTACATTTGCTGATCACCTATTTGAACAAAATGATGATTCGTTTTCTCGGACACCCTGTGTTTTATGATGATGAAAATCGGTACAGGTATATTTCAAGTGGTACTGATTCAGAATCCATCATCAAGTTTCGTGGAAATATGGGTCATTGAAATTTGTCGCAGTTGGCCACGATAACAGTCCAAGAATAAGATCACTCTCTGGTTGGATGGGCATTTCAAATGCCTATCCAACAAAAAAAGGTTTTTTGAAATCGGTCGGATAATAACGATTTTACAGGGGTGGTAAGTCCTTAAGGTGGACACACTGTATATATATATATATGTGATATATATCCGGGAAAAAAGTACTCACTTTTTTCCCACAGGAAAAAAGTGATTTATCAAAAGTGACATTTCATAACCTGTCAACAGAGAAGAAATATCAAACTTTTTTCCCGTCACAAAAAAAAATATGTGTTATCACATAAAGATTGCGAATTCTCAATGCATTTCATTATATGCATCCTTTTTTCATGTTCCTAATGATATCAGAATATTCCTTTTCAGTATCTTATGAATAGCACTGTTAGACTTAGAACACTCACCTTGACATCCTTGATATTCTGCGAAACATCAGCAGTAATAAACGTCGAATTGACATTAGTCGGCTTCTTCTTCACACTCGGAAAAATCACCCCACCCTTCCTTTTCTCCACTCGCCTCTCCGTCGTTGTTCCCCGCGCGATCGGCGTCGGCAGCGTCGTTTCCCCCACCGCGTACGTCGTCTCCCCCACTTCCCCCACAGAGTACGTCGTATCGGCGCCGTCGTCTTCCACGAATCGCGCAGACTCGTACTCCTCCAGGTTGTCCAGGCTGGAGGGATCAAGCAGGATTTCGGCAGGGACGGGTTTTTGAGCCAATGTGGCAACGTCGTCTTCCTGTTTCTTCAGGCGTTTTTCTACCTGCAGGAAAATCTGGTTTGAAACCTTTCGATTGCGTCAGATTATTAACTCTCAGTGCTTACATTTTAGAATACGCTTTCTTTATTCAATATATTTTACTACTACTTTCACTAGATAGTATTTGCAACATTGATGTTTCAAATGGAACACCCTGTATTTCATCGCATTTTCAGATTCTCCCTAAAGAACTGATTTTATCGATATGTGACACTCGCTCACACTTGCTCTGCTTTCAACAGGAACGAATTAATAAGATAACCTTCGAGCACATAACATTGGTCCTTCGAGCCGGATTTGGTCATTCAAGAATTTACGAAACTTTCACAATTATCGAGATTCGTCGTTCGAGAAGATAACATCGAACATATTCTGGCTCATTTTTCGAAACTGGCACAACACATGTCATAAACAGTGTATATATCCAGGAAAAAAATACTCACAAAATTGTAATTTTATAAAAAGTGACATTTTGTTTCCTGTCAACAACAAGATGAAATGTCGAACATTTTCCAGTCTTCGCAAAAATGTTGTAATTACCTTGTCGAGATTGGCTATTATCTTGTTGGTTTTGGTTTTGAGGTCGTTGTGTATTTCGCCGATAGCGCGTTCTTGTCTTTGCGTCTGCGTCAACAACTCGTCGGATTTCGGTACCAAGTCGTCGACAGAGCTTTTGGTGCCTACCACGACGTTCCAAACCTAGAGAGATATACAGTGTGTTATAATTTGGTCCACTCCACCACAGTACTTTCGTATTCCTAGGGCGATTTGGAATTTATTTTTCTCACAGTTTACTCTCTCTCTCAAAATTATCAACTTGGTCGATCAAACAGAATTATCAACCACAATTTCTTAGAATACTGTGATCTCAAAAGCTCCAGCAACATTGAAGAAAACGGATGAGACGTTTTTCTCCAAAAAAAAATGATGTACTCAATCGATTCGGAGTATTCACGAATACTGCTATAACAATTTCCAAAACAATATCTCATAAGGGGTGTTTTTTATCAACGTTACAGTTTTTGAATGATTGCACTTTTCAAGTCACCGTGTATATAATTCCTAGAATTTGGATGATATCAGGAACGATATTAGTCAGGATTAGATCACCTGGCTACAGAGTGAGCTAAATAACTAATGAAATCACAAAAATTTTGATTTTCTATCAAGATATACAGGGTGCTCCTTAATGATATGCTGATATTCAAGGGGCCAATTCTTCGACCCATTTCAAGAATAAAACTTCATATGAACATATGTCGTAAACGTTCTAACTTTTGAAATGTTGAAAATATGCAGAGATTATTTTTTGTCCACCCTGTATAGCTTTTCGTGATGGCAAAATTCAGTCTGCTATGTGACTGAATCGGTGCAAAAATGTCAAGATTTTACATACGGTGGATATCCAGTAATTGATGTTCTGAATGGAGTACTCAAACATCAAAATTTGAAGTCTGGTCTCGTTTTACCGTTTTTTCTCGAAAATGAAGCGTTCTATCGAGTATCAACAAAAAAATCTCTTTTGTACATAATTGAATAGCCTTTCATAGCATGGCATGAAATTTGCACACTTTTAAGTAGAATATAAACAATAATTTTCCTGTTACCTGTGCCACTGGTAGAGGAAATGAAAATTTTTGTACATCAGAAAATGAATCTCAATGCATGCAAGACGTGTGCCAAATTTCAAAAAGATGTATACAATATTGTCTCAGTATTCATCAAAATACTGAATATTTTTCAAAACTTCATCACCCTGTATCTCAAAAGTTAAGACTTTTAGGACATAAGTTCATATGAAGTTTTCTTCTTAAAATGAGTCAGAGAATCACCTCCTCGAATATTAGCATGTATTTAAGGAACACCCTGTATATAGAATAATATAGTATAATGCGTTCTGTTTAAATCAATCACCTAATCCACATAGTGTGGTATTATATCGGTTTATCAACTCTTCCCGTGATTTTACTAAAATAACTACCGACTTGTCAGCATATTCAGTCAGAAATGTCTGAGGAATTGCAAGATCATCATTGTACCCATATAATATAAATAATACAGGGCCCAGCATGGAACCCTGGGGCACGCCGATTGGGACCTCTGTTGACTGCGAGTTAACATGTCATTCAGTTCTTAATCCAACAAAAATTTGATAATGCAGGGTCAGCAGAAGCATGTTCACCTGCCAAAATTCAAACCAATTCGAATTTTAATTGGAGATGACACTTTTTTATTTACCTCGTCCATCTTCTCGGACACTGTGAGCGTCTGTTTGACCTGCTGCACCAAGTCATCGCTGTTGGTGGTAGCAAGCAGCTCAGGTTTCTCCGTAGTCGTCCTGTTGTAGAACCGACTGTCTCTTCTCGAATCCCCGATCACAGCTCTGTGCAGCTCGGTCATCATATTCAACACCTTGCCCAAGTTCTCCTGCACGAGGTTGATGTGGAACTGCAGCTTCCTGTCCACGGCTCCAGTGGCGTCCCGCAGCTGGCCCAGCTCCTTGGTCACGTGGTCGATGACTTCGGTGTTGAGGGCCTTGGTGATTTCTACCACGTTCATACTCACGGAGCGTTTCTCGCTCGCTTCGGCGTTGATGTCTTCGCCCTGCAAGAAGTAGGACATTCAAGTTCACAGTTAACACTGGTTTTTTATTAATGTTCTGGTTCCCACCATTTTCCTAAATAATTGTGCTAGCGAAACGGAAAACATTTCTACGGTTTCTAACTTATTAAACTGTCTACATGTATTTAACAAAGGACTATGAAAATGATGGAAGGAATTTGGTACATCTATATGAAAAGTTATGTTCGATCTCGAAGTAATTAGCGGTACATAAAAATTAATCACTGATAGTAATTCTGATGAGTCGATGAGATTGTGGACGATTTTGTAAAGGAATGTAAGGTCGGAGATCTCTCTACGCTTCCTCATAGTTGTCAGCTTGACAGTAGCTGGTGATCATAATGAAGTACTGGGTATGTTCCGTGTTTTCTTGAAATATAGGAACTTCAGAAACTTATGCTGAATTTTCTCTATTGAGTCGATATATTTTTTCTGGTATGGATTCCAAACAGTGCTGCAGTATTCAAGCTTAGAACGTACTGAAGAAAAATAAACAGAGTTCAGAGAACATCGTGAGAACCAAGGGAAATAAGGTAGGAATTGGTTAAATTTCTGGAGGTTATATGCCTCGGGGAACACCTCCCTTGGCAATGTGTTCCAGAGCCTCGCTGTTCGACGGATGAACGAGTCTTCGGAAAGAGATGTTCTGCAGGTCTCCAAAGTGACCACGAAGGGGTGCGAAGCCTCAACTCGACGGGTTAACCTCGCGGGTACTGCCAAGGAAGGAACAATTGTTGATATTTCAGAAGAGCATCGTCCATAAAAATATCTTTGAAATAGAGCCAGATCACCAACTTTTCTACGGTGTTCCGGAAAAGTGAGTGAGTTTGTGAGCGAGGCATCACCCACGAGACGAATTGCCCTTTTTTGGACAGAAACCAACAGTTTCAAGGTATGTTTGGGTGCTGCACTCCAAATATGGGAACAGTATTCCAGGACATGTCGGATCTGTGCCTTATAGATCATAAGCAGCTGACTGGAAGTGAAATAGCTCCTGGCCCGTAACCGAATAAAACCAAGTTTTTGGGATGCACTTTCAGTAATTGATCTCACGTGATTTTCCCAAGAAAGGTTATTGCTGATAGTAATACCAAGCATCGAAATGGATATCTTCAAAGTTGCGATTACTCTTGACAAGCTTATGTTGGGCACAGTGAGATCAGCTTTTCTAAAACATATATGGTCGGTATACCGAGCCCAGCTCCATTCTCAAATGCAAACGTATATAATTTTCGCACTCTAGATACAAAAATATTCATTGACATTTTGAAAGTTCCACTTCCTCAACTGATTATTCAATTTTGAAACTGCCAAATTGCGAATTTTCATTTGGAAACCCTACCTGCAAAGAGTTGGTGTCCAGCTGGTTCTTGAGGACGCTCAGCTTGTCATCAATATCGCTGACTTTCCTGTCCAAGGCGACCAGTTTCTTGTTCAACCCCACTGATTCAGCTTCGGTGAAGCCTTCGGGCTTCCTGGTGTCGAACTGCAGCCGATTGGGCGTTTGGAAGAGCTTGGAGTCGAGCGTGCGCAGCTTCGATATGACCGATTCGGTCTTGTCGATGTTGCTGTTCACTCTCGTATCGAGGCCTTCGACACGCCTCATCAGGTGTTCCACTGCCTTGTCGAGGTTTTCGATCCTCTGCAATTTGGATTCCAGAGTCGAGATGATGGCTTCGAACACGTCGAACATGTATTGCTCCCTGGAACCAAAAAATACTCGATATTAGTCCGATTTCACAATTGTTTTTTAAGGAAGGATAGGAGGAGGAGGTAGGTATTGGATTTCTTTCTAACTTTTGGAGGTTATGAGTGAGTCTATGTCCAATAATCTCTTCCTAGTCACTTTACAGTTCCCTCGATAATATTTGCATCTTATTCTTGAGAATACTTCCATTGGCAAAGAATTACAGAGCTTTGCCGTTCTACTGCGGAACGAATGTGATCCAAAACACGTTTTTGGGCCATCAGAAAAATGTCTGCAGTGGCTTGGGTTTGACCCCACGACCGGCAAGCTATCACGATTAGAATACTAACGCTTTTACCTTGGCCCTACGTATGAATGGTTACATCCAGAAAGGCGGGTGATTTGGACCCACTTCTAAACTTAGGAATAAATTGAAACTTTGCACACTTATCAATTGAAGACCGATGACGATAACATTATTAAATAGTTGTGTTCCATTAGGCAGATCAGGCCCTTCAGGACTAGCAATCATCTTACACCAAGTACTCGTATGAAATAGTTACATCCAGAGAGACGGTTGTGTCTTGCACCAAGTACTCGTAGGAATTAAAGTTTCCAGAGTGGGAACCTGATAAACGGTTACAATATCCAGAGAAAGCAACAGGTACGCAAATTACCCACTTTCACTGCGGAGTGGTAGTAACAAAAGATAGAAAAAAAAGAATCACGCTTTTGTACCGGGTGAACAACTAAGAACGATATGTCGGCCATGTCTCAGCAACGAATAATGATACGAGTTTGAGATAGAATGAATCTAATGGTATGCATATCATTATACGATGTAATAGAGAAACTAAATCTCAACAGACCAACGAAAACTGCAACATGATAGCTTTTCGCCAACGGAAGATACTAACTATAAGTTGGAAGAATGATAAATATGTCAGCCGTTTTTAGTTGTTCACCCGGTATAAGTTACTAGAACTAAAAAAAATGAATAGAAGTTGAAAAAAAAAATACGCGTAAAATAAATACACAGCATGAAGAATATCAGCACCACCGTAATCAGTATTTCTATATAAGAATTATAATCCGTAATCAGCATTTATATCATTATGAAGTTTTGCATTCAAAATCAAGTCGTTGAAGAGTTCAATCCATACATTCGTTTTCATTTTTTATATTCATGATTTTTTATGTGAAAAACCGAACAACATAATTATAGTTATTGAATACTAAGCAAACATATAACAATCCAATCCATTTGATGTTATCAATCAAATCCTAATTGCACTACTTCAATCAGGACATTGCCTCAGAGGATTTATTCATACGTGCTTTCGACATGAGGAAAATATTGAAGGAATGTTTATTTACAATAATTAACAACTTTTGCACGAATGGTCAATAGCCCATTCACATGGTGCAATACATCAATAGATAATAATGAACAGTTGAATAGAGTTGGCGGGAATTCGGTCGAAATGTTGAACCAATTTTTAAATTGTCGACGTTTCGAAACTTTATTGTTTCATCTTCAGGACACTGAAGTAAAAACAAGAACATACATATTAAAATGATATTTTAAAATTGGGGTTTTGATAAAAGCAAAATGAGTTATGTAAAATAACAATCGTTGAAAACAAAACACTTCTCACACTTTACAGAGAACAAAATTGATAGGTACTTACATTTAGGGTGGCTTTCCGGGTTTGAGAATAGTGAAATAAATAAAATCAACATAAAGTATAAATACGTACACACAGGTTCATGAAAGACCTTAACATGTTCGTGTCTGTGTTAAGAAAATACCTAGCCTAACAATAATAAAAACCAATACAAGTATTTTTTTTAAATAATCATCTCGGTATGCAATATTGGGCTGAATTTTCCGGGAAAGATGGCATAGTATGCCATCTTGCCGAAACTAGAGTTACTTCAAGTAAATAAATATGATATCGACAGTTCATCAAACAAAATTCCCATCACATATCGTAAAATGAATCTTTACGATACTTACGTATCGTAAATATCTATTTGAAAACCAATCAAGAACCATTGTCACTTCTTTTGACGAGCCGCCACTGTGTCATGTTCCGATTTCATCATCCAAGTTCGGGTCATTATAATCGAGAACAATCTCTTGACGGATGATGCGAAAAAAAAAAGCGCAAAAATGGCCAATAAAAGATGAAAAGCCGCATACACCGAATTTGTTTAAAGGAAACGCTAATTACACCACAGAATAACCCATTATTTCATTCTGTAATTACGCGACCCGAAAAGTACAGGGTCGTCCTCAGTTCGATTGGGGCCCCGAAAGTTGAAAACATATCTCATGATTGTTTTTTCATCTGTCTTACCTTACCTTTCTTGAGAAAATCACGTGAGATCAATTGCTGAAAGTGCATACCAAAAACTTGGTTTTCTGTTTCAGGCCAGGAGCTATTTCACTTCCAGTCAGCTGCTTATGATCTATAAGGCACAGATCCGACCTTTCCTGGAATACTGTTCCCATATTTGGAGTGCAGCACCCAAACATACCCTGAAACTGTTGGATTCTGCCCAAAAAAGGGCAATTCGTCTCGTGGGTGATGCCTCGCTCACAAACTCACTCACTTTTCTGGAACACCGTAGAAAAGTTGGCGATCTGGCTTTATTTTATAGATATTTTCATGGACGATGCTCTTCTGAAATATGAACAATTGTTCCTCCCTTGGCAGTCCCCGCGAGATATACCCGTCGAGTTGAGGCTTCGCACCCCTTCGTGGTCACTTTGGAGACCTGCAGAACGTCTCTTTCCAAAGACTCGTTCATCCAACGAACAGCGAGGCTCTGGAACACATTGCCAAGGGAGGTGTTCTTCGAGGCATATAACCTCCAGAGATTGAAGAAGAACACCAATTCCTACCTCATTTCCCATGGTTCTCACGATGTTCTCTGAACATCACAGGATATCCCTTTTCGTGGGAACCAGAACATAAAAGAAAATGTGTTTCAATGATCTGTTGAGGGTGGTGTGAAGAAGCCTCCTGAGAATGACTGTTTGGCACTCTATAAGTAATAATCACCCAATCTTAATCTTTCAGATTGAAGACATTTTTTATAAAAATTTCCTAATATTCAATGGAAGCAAAATTCGCCTCGCGAATTTATTGTTTCATTCATTGTGACCAATGAGAAATCGGATATATGGGTTACTTCAAAAGATTCAGCTTCTTGTCAGGCGACCAATTATTTGTATCAGCAATTCGCTGATTCCGTTCCCAAGGACTCGTAATTTCCTGATAAAAAGTCGCCGTACGATCAACGACTAATAATTATTTAGAGATATTGATTTATGATGACAGCGCCCTGCTTCCATTAACTCGAATTTGTATTAAATGGATGTGTATGTTGCAATAAAAACACGGAAGAAAAAATATTACACGCGCGGTAGGTATAAGTTACACCAAAAATACAGAATGGGCAAGTGGCAAGGGAAACGGAAAAACTTCAACAGTGATAGTTTATCTTCTGTAGTCTATGATAGAGCTCATCAAGGAGGTTCTGAATATACCATATTTGTAGCTACCAAGTTTTATATCCGAGATATAGCGGGTGAAAAAGAACACCCTGTATTTTCGAATTTCCAAAATCCGCTCACATATTTGGAAAGTGCATGAAAATCTGAAGTGTATGATGTACTTTCCATTTTTCCGCATGCTATTTCACTAGGTAATTTCTGATTTTGAGTATGAGGTTTCATGCATTTGGATAGGTAAAAATGAAATGTTTTGAGTTTTTCCAATCGAATAACAGAAACTATCACGAATCACCCAGTATATTCTTTTGAAATTTGGTACACAAGTCCTCCTTCTTATACCCCAGCGACTCACCTATCAGTCACGATGAAAATCCAGGTCTGGATTAACGAAAAATTATGATCTTCTGGGCCCGAAAAAGAACACCCAGTATTTTCGAATTTCCAAAATCCGATTCCATATTTGGAAAGTTCACAAAGGGATGGATTGAATTGTGTGCTTTTCAATATCCCGCATGCTCTTTCACTAATTAATTTCTGATTCTGAAAACTCAAAACTTTCCATTTCACCTCGATATCTACCTATCCAAATGCATAAAACCTCAAATTCAAAATCAGAAATTCAGTAGTGAAATAGCATTCGTATGGAAATAAAAAGTAGACAATCCGATTCAGCTTTTTGTGCAATTTTCAAATATGGAAATCCGAAAATGCAGGGTGTTCTTTTTGGGGCCCAGAAATATAATCAATTTTCGTTAATTCGGACCTGGATTTTTCTCGTGAATGATAGGTGAGGGGCTTGGGTAGATCAAGGAGAACTCGTGTACTAAATTCCAAAAAAATTTACTGGGTGGTTCGTGATAATATTATTCGATTGGGAAAACTCAAAGCATTATATTTTTACCTATCCAATTGCATAAAACCTCGAATTTAAAATCAGAAATTCCTTTGTGAAATTGCATGTGGAAAAATGAAAAGTAGATCATTCGGTTCAGCTTTTTGTGCACTTTCCAAATGTGTGGGAGGATTTTGAGAATTCGAAAATACAGGGTGTTCTTTTTGGGGTCCAGAAATATGATCAATTTTCGTTAATCCAGACCTGGATTTTTCTCGTGGATGATAGGTGAAGCGCTTGGGTAGAATGAGGAGAACTCGTGTACCAAAGTCCAAAAGAATATACTGGCTGGTTCGTGATAATTTTTGTTATTCGATTGGGAAAACTCAAAACATATTATTTTTACCAATCCAAATGCATAAAACCTCGAATTCAAAATCAGAAATTCCTTAGTGAAATTGCATGCGGGAAAATGACAAGTATACCATTCGGTTCAGCTCTTTGTGCACTCTCCAAATATGTAAGCGGATTTTGAGAATTCGAAAATACAGGGTGTTCTTTTTGGTGTCCAGAAATATTATCAACTTTTGTTAATCCGGACCTGGATTTTTTTCGTGACTGATAGGTGAGTCGTTTTGGTAGAAAAAGAAGGAGTTGT